ATCTCTAAGAAAGAAATTGCCATATATAAGAAAATAAGTTGACTCGTGGTCGTTAGTCAGTCTTCTCTACCTGTACTATGTTTATTATGTTTAAGGTTACATTGTTATGTCGAATGTAACGTCGACTCCTTTGGTTAGCGTAGAGTGGACGTAATGTAACTTCGACTGCTCTGATTATCGAAGAGTGGACGTAATGTAACTTCTACTCCTCTGTTTATCGAAGAGTGGACGTAATGTTACTTCGACTCCTCTGATTATCTAAGAGTGGACGTAAGTTAACTTCGACTCCTCTGTTTATCGAAGAGTGGACGTAAGTTAACTTCGACTCCTTTGGTTAGCGTAAAGTGGACGTCCCAGCCGGCTAGTGCTGCTCGGAAGTTGCGCCAGCGCCGTATTCCGGGCGCGGGGTGAGACGCCGAGCGGCTCCTTTCGCGGCGGGTAAGGCGACACCGCGAGAGCTCGCGCGCCGCACGCCAGTCGCACCACAGCACGCGTCGACTCGACATGTAAGTACGAAACACCGTCAGTGCCCCGCTGTGCCAGTGAAAAAGTTGTGTTTGTTCCTTTTTTAAAAGTCGACGTGCATCCATCTTGCTCGGGTCGCTCTTTTCGTTTTTTTTTTATTTTTTTTATTTTCGCTCGGTAAGTAGGTTGTATGTGGCGGATTCAGTTGTCGATAGATATTTTTTTTTAGGTAATCAATTTCATCGGTCAATTAGAGTCGTAATTAAATTTGTGGTCTCATTAACTCTCGGTTATGTTAACAAGTAAGTGTGAGCCATAGATTTTGAAATTCGTGATGATGTAAAATTCCGTACGGTCCAGTCGACCTCCATTCAATTGGGAGCAGATAGGATTTTGTAATCGCTGCTAGTCTATTTTTGAATATCGCGGTGCTCGGTTACATTATATCAGCCAATGGGAGATGCGCAGAGGCACATTTTCCCGCGAGTTTGGCTGCCTGCCAGTATGTAGCCAATGGCGAGCGAGCGCGCGAAGCGGGTAGAGCTTGCGTAGTACCCGAGCTTTTCACAGACTGTTGAATCAAAATGTTTGTATAGCATGTAGCGATGGCACCATGCAATTAATAATATGGAATGAGACTAAAAATATGGACTTCTTTGGTTTTTAATCATTTTTGTATCCGTATTACAAGTAATAAACAATAACTAGTGTCTTATAGAGCATACTTATTGTATTCTGAAATCATATATATTGCACGAAGTTATTTTTGACAAATTATATATAACCCAATATTAATTAAATGTTTTAAAATATATTAATTTAATTCGGTGACGTCTTTATCTAGACTAAAGAAGGCCTTTTATTAAATATTTGTTCTTGGCTAATTTCTCAAACGAATAAGTCGATACGACAATGTTTAAAATCTATTATATTGTTTTGTGTTGGATTTTTGCTTTCTTCAGACAAAAATTCTAAATCAAAAATTCTAAAAACTAAAGACCAATTAACAAAGTCATTCCCGTACTCTCCTTATTGAATTCACCACATTTCTAAATTTGCCGGAATATATTCAAACATTTCAATCGACCAATCTTAACGATTTCATTATCTTGAAATGCTGCCAAAAGTTTGATGTGAAACTAGTTGAACTGACGTCATAATACTTTTTCTACGTTAACTGTGAGTAAGTAATTAGATACATATTAAATTAAAGTAATAATATATAACTTTTCTAATATTGTTTTTGTTTTTTTCACATTTTTCTGCTAACCTTCATATTTACGACACTGAATTACCTGTGTGTAATTTCTATTTTTACACGTAGCTATTTCTATTAGCTGTACTATTGCTATTTTCACTTTCGATGAAAACAGGGATGTTATAACTAAACCATAACTAAATTTCAATCAATATCAAATATCTTGTATATGATTTTTAACACAGCTGTACTGTACCTAACTGTCGTAATAACACTATTGTGATGGTGCTATATTAATTGAGGTGTGCACTTTCAAAAGTCCACGTAATTCTGACGTGCATTGAAGGATGATATAATGAATTCTTGTAGGAAACGTTTGTAACGAGAAGAATACACGTAAGGAATGCATATGTTACTTTAGGACACACGTTGCAAGCGCACATATATGCTAAAAGTCAACATCAGTATTACCTGTGCCAAGTAATAAACGTCTATAAACAATTTTATGTACGCAATAAGTTATCATTACGGCGTTTATTCAAAGATGCTAATGTATAGTTTAATTTTTAATAATAATATATATTGATTTAGTCTTTAGTGTTTTACCAAGAATTTTCCCCGAGTTCAATAAAATATTAAATTTCGATTTTTTTTTCTTAATATCAGGCCATCAAGTAGAATCAATTCAATACGTTACTTGTACATCATTTGAAATAAACTGTTAAAAGTATAACAAGGCTTGTTGGATTAAAATACCTTAACAGAGGAGATCTATAGAATCATTCAGACCCGTCCGTTTAGTATAGCAGGAGAAAACCCAGTTTATACAAATCGCAAACAATTTATTAGAGGGAAGATTAAAGTGATGGGACTTCTATGACTATGTAAGGAAATTATTGTTTGCTTGATCTTCTTTTTTATTTTATTTTTCAAAACAGCCAGTCCACAGAAATTCTCGAGTATGTTGCCCAGTGTTGCCTTTAAACATTTTTGCGAAACATGAGTTATGGAGGTGCACATGCTTTTCTTGTGAATCACGGCCCAACGCAGCCTCTTAAGGGCAAAACAACGCGAGTAATTTATGGTGCACTTATTCAGAAAGCATGCTGTTTTATTAGTATTGAATTCTTTAAGGTTTCACTCGTTAATAATACTGTTGAATTATGGTAGAAATTAGGACCTAAATGGCATTAAAATAATCATCCCTTAATATCGGTCGTTCCATTTGTTTTGCTATACATATACCCTTTTGTCTTTTATTTCAAATATTCTTTTATTTAGTTCACAACACAATATATTGAAATTCAAGCCAAACCGCAGGGTTTTAGTTTGCAGGTTTAGGACGTCATTTCTCAACGAAGAAAGGTCAATAGCATTGACATTTGAAAGTTATAAACTAAGGGAGGGTATGAAGGATGTTACATGCAATCGCGTTGGTAATCCAGGGCGATGATTTATCCAATTTCATTGTTTTTGGTCTAAATACACTGCGGATAATTTATCAGCGAATATTTGGAACTTGCTAAATATTTAGCTCTTATTTTACACAGCTGCGTTCTGGACAACAAATGCTTGTTAACCTCTGCAAGGTCGGTTGATTTTATTGACGATAGTTTATTGCGATTTAAGGGGTAATAAGTTATAATAAGAGGTAATAATAAGTAGAAAGGACAACCGCATAGTACCTTCGTTTAAGTGACGGGGCCAGTAGATTAGGAGATTGAGTTAAACGTGAACAACAACGTTTCTGAAACACTGATCATGATTGGTTAAAACACTGTTTGGTTAAATTTCTACGGTGATCAGTGGTTCAGAAACCGGGCGTTAGAATAACCGAATCTTCAATATTGACCTTGGCTGTCTGTGTTATCAGTGTTTAACAATGTACGTCATTAAAGACACGCCTGCAAATTGTACGACCATCCAATTCAATATTCTTTATATGTGCGTTTATTAAACTGATGTGCTATTTATAAGAGTAACCTATTGATACTTCGATTACGGTATTGTTTTAGCTCTACACGTCATAATTGTTTACTGAATCCATAACATCAGGTTCATGAATAATCGCTTTGGGGAAATTGACAGAAATTCTCTCACTCTGAACTCGATGTATATCAGACATTAGTCTGCCGGATAACAATTCAAAAGTAATTGTGTGCTCAGGTGAATAACAACGTATTATAATAAAAAAATAACAAATGTCTCTAAGATAACCTTGTAGGTACGTCTCGATCAAAATTTGTGACTCACACTTTGACTTTATGAAAACTATTATATTTAATTTATGTAAGAAGTGGTGCCTTTTATTGATTCTCGATCAATGTTCTCGTCAATTAGCATGTTTAAAAACATAACAATTATTGGTATTGTGACTAGTGGTTGAAAGATCAATGCACTCTCAGCGACGTAAATAGCATGAATTTGTATTTACATTTTCGAGTTGACTGCACCCTAGACAATATTTAATGTCTGTATACTCTACCTAAGAAATAACTTTATGATCATTAGTATAATTGAGGTATTGTCATGAAATACTTATTTCAATGGCCTCACAAATTAACCTAAGCTACAATATTTACTGAACTGAAGAACTGAACTCTACACGGTACAATATATTACACAAAGTACAGAAAGTGTTATAGTCCGTTGCTTGTTAACTCTTAAGGTAGCCTTCGACCTTTCGTTCGACCGGGGAAATCGTATCAGAATGGGGAGGGATTCAGGTCTCCCAAAAGACTGTTAAGTAGATTTAATTGGACTCTCAGCGTCTTCTTTTAGCCTATGAACTAAATGCCGGCTACGCACCAGCATCACCGTTATTCATATCGTGTATACGTAACACGCTGTTATAATTTATATCACGAAAATCATAAAAATTAAAAAAAAAACATGTATTTCAACTCTGGTAGGTCCACGCAACAGTTCGCCGCTGCACGAATGGACAGGTCCGTCCGGAGAAGTACCACGACCTCACAGAAGAGAGGCGTGAAGGGGAAGTGTCCTCATTATCCTTCTATACTTCTACTATATACTACTACTTCTGCGCTTTCGTCTGGAGATCGATGTAGCAGCAGCGGGGCTCACATTATTAAAAGGTGTCAACGCATCTGCAACACTTCGGGTATTGCGCTAGCCACCTTTACACGCAATAAACAAATGTAACTCATCAAAAATACCACATATCGGCAAAACCACGACGTGTCTGACCGCATCAACCACGTGTTCCACTTGATCCTACGTCAGCCGCGAGAAATTTCCACGGGAGCGCGAAACTAAGCGGCCCGTCTGCTTTCAGCTTTACGTCTAGGTGAGGGAAGCAAACAAAACAGCCAACATGGACGCGATCAAGAAGAAGATGCAGGCGATGAAGCTGGAGAAGGATAACGCCCTTGACCGCGCAGCGATGTGCGAGCAGGAAGCCAAGGACGCCAACCTTCGCGCCGAGAAGGTTCTTTATTCTTTTTTTTTTAATTGACGTTTTTACTTTCGGACCACAGACTATTAAAGCTCCATCTATCGGAGCCGCGATAGCTCATTGTCCGGGCGCTCGTCTTTAATTAAATGTACCCGAGCAACCTGAGTTCGATCCCCGGTGCGGCACCAATGAGATTGTTAATTTTAAGTGGTGAATTATCACGTGCTCAGCGGTGAAGGAAAACATCGTGAGGAAACCTGCATATTTTCGAAATAATTAACAAAGAAAATAATTCGAAGATATGTGAAGTCCGCCAATCCGCAGTGGGGCCGCGTGATGGAGTATGCACTGATACCCTCCGTACAGAGGAGGCCTTTGCCCAGCAGTGGGACATATACATATAGGCTGACACTTTACTTTAATTTTTTACTTTATCGGAGCCGAGAAGGTGCGCCTATGACCGACGCAATATTCTTTTGAACCCCACACCAGAAACACATTCGAGTTACTCCCTAAGCGTTTGTATTAATATTTTAGCAAAGCGCATAGTTATAGGCAACGTTCAATACTATCAGTCCCAGATAACTGATAAACATACATAAACATACATAAACATGCTTTTCTTTTGTAAAATCAGTACCTACATATTACAGATATTATGCAAAGACCCAGACACTAGAAAAACACTATGTTCATCGCACAATATTTTTCCAGTAGTGGGGTCGAACGAACTTGTATTATATTGTACTATAACTCAGATTATTTAAGTTGAATTTTTATTAGTTTATTCTTAATACACGCTTCTTCTTATGGTCCTGTTTCCCCTAGATGGGGCAGAGGGCTTCCACAGTGCGTCGCCATCCCGTTCGGTCTTGAGCTTCACGCTTCAGTTCGCTCCACGTCTTCCCTATGTCCTTCGCCTCTGAGATGATCGTCCGCCGCCAGGTTTGCTTAGGGCGGCCGCGCTTACGCTTTCCTTGGGGATTCCAATCTAGGGCTTGCTTTGGTATGTGATCAGGGTCTCTTCGGAGCGTGTGGCCGATCCAGTTCCACTTGCGGCGTTTGATCTGTTGGTCGATCGGAGTCTCATCGCAGCGTTTCCATAGTTCTACATTAGAGATTTTCTCGGGCCAGTAAACACCAAGAATACGGCAAAGACAGCGGTTGACGACGACCTGAAGCCGGCGTGAGATGTCCTTTGTAACCTTCCACGTCTCACATCCGTATAGCAACACAGTTTTTACGTTGGACCGGAATATTTTGAGCTTTACTCTCTTAGTCAATTTCCGTGATTGCCACACTGGACGGAGCTGCGCGAAGGTTGCTTTTGCCTTGGCGACTCTCGAAGCGTCTCCTCTTCGGTTCCTCCAGTTTCCGACACTACACTACCGAGATAAGTGAATTTGTGGACCCTTTCCACAGCCTCTGAGCCAATGAGCAACGGCAATGAGTTAATAATACACGCTTACTTCTTAATATATAGCTTTAAGATAAAAGTAAATTGTTTTCAAGTAAGTAGCTTTGTGCAAATGATTTGCTCAGCATTAGTCGGCAGAGTTATTAGCATTCCATTCGCAATCTTCTTTATTTTATCCCGGGCCTTGAGTTACTGTTTTTATCTCATGTGGACATCCTATGAGAAGTGAAGTGTTGAATGTGAAGGGATTTTCTATTTATTTTATTATTACTCATGGAATGAAATACTAAATGATAAATTGGAATGTAGTGAATGTGTAAACGGTAAATTTAGTTATTAGTTTGAATTAAATTCGTAAATCGTAATATTTAACACAAACATATCAATATAGGAATATTCGAAGCCGTGTTTAAATAAATAGATAAAATATCGATATACATTCTTAGATTTATATTATTGATGGAAAGTAGAATAAACAGATAATTCATATTATATACTATATGTACACTAACGAGATGTACATTATATGTACACAAACGTTTTTTATTTAAAAAAATTTAGACGCGCTCACCTCAACTTACTTAAGTTTAATAGGAAATAACTTGAAGAAAATGTCCCATACGGGACCAAGGTGTCTATACATACCAATTTTCTACCACGCACAACTACTTTGTGGAACGAGTTGTCACCAGCGGTATTTCCAGACCGATACGACTTAGGGACCTTTAAGAGAGCCTATTCCTACCTTAAAGGCCGGCAACGCAATTGCGACTCAACCGATGTTGCAAATGTCCATGGGCGGCGGTGAACACTTACCATCAGGTGACCCGCATGCTCGTTTGCCTCCTTTTCCCATAAAAATAAAATAAAATAAGGGTTTTACGTCAGAATATCCCCTTTGCATATTGGCGGCAGAGACGAATACAGTAGCATTGGCACTAAATTGCAATTAATAATTTTGTTGGTTTCACCTATCATCTTACACATTCTGAATAATGGTAAAAGGCGAGAGGCGGCAAGCCCCTAACATAAACCATAAACCCCTAGTCTATGATTTTCGATAGACCTTTTCATTCTATTTAGCGCCAAAAATCCGCCTATTTTTAATATACTTACTGGGTAATCGCGTAATCGCAAATTACGACACATCTGTCGTCAAAAAACCCTTTTATATTTACGGGGGTCATAAGGTCATTTTTTTTTAATCTCGGGTAGCGGTCGGGATAGATCATACATGACATATATATTATAATCTATCTGAAATTCTCTACCTTAAAAATTAAATTAAAATTTTTTAGAATTTATTTAACAGACTTCAGCTGTCTAACCACCTCTTTATCTAATGTAGGCTGAGGAAGAGGCCAGACAGCTCCAAAAGAAAATCCAGACGATTGAGAACGACCTCGACCAGACACAAGAAGCTCTCATGCAGGTCAACGGCAAACTTGAAGAGAAAGAAAAGGCGCTACAAACCGTGAGTAAATGTGACTACTAATGCTAAAGTAATTTTTTAAATTATATTACTTATACCACAGTAGGTCGTTCAAAAAGATATAGGTAAATCATAAATATGCAATATATTTTAACGTCTAGGCTATCCACTATAAACCTGCACTATAAAATAACTTGTTTAGTAATTCACATAACTTTGGAATAATTCACGAATTATAAAAACTTCAAGGAATAAATCAGGCAATAGTCTCGGAATGCCGTTCTCGATACGTACAATTACTATGGTATACAAATACCATGAAAATTGCATACGTCTGACACAGGAATGAATAGGCTTCATAAATAAGCTAAACTTTAGTTAGGTTGATTTTCTTTAAATTAGTTTTTGTAAACTAACTTTATTTTACAAGAACTGTAGATTTTTGTTAGTTTGGGAAACTTCTAATATATTAAATTATGTTATTGCTTATAATATCATTAAAATTATTTTAAATCAGAGTTAGGGGAGTGAATATTTGTGTATGGTGAGTGTGGCGACATCTATTACCAGAGATAAATGAAAAATAAACTTCATTTTTAGGTTGTCAATTTTTAGAGAAATTTTAAATTTTGATTTTTAATTCCTCTAATGGTAAACTCTGAATTGAAAAAACCTTTTTAATTTTTGTTTTCATACAACTACTCGCACCGCCGACAACTTCGATTACTTAATAACTTTTATTTAATAAGTTTTCTTCTTAGGAATTTTAACAAAATAAAAACCATAATAAAGTTTATAGTTAATACTTAAGACATATCTGTATGGAATCCTACGCTGTAGGGGTTCTGCCGCGTGTTCAGCGCGCCGTGGTTATTTTTGATGTCCGCCACCTAATATGGGACCGATGCCCGGCTTTCGGTAAATTTAGACGCGCTCACCTCATCGACGATATTGTAATATAACCCGCGTTTTGTTAGTGTTCTTACATTTTTAAAGTTTATACTTTTATTCAAAATTAATAACTCGTTTTTATTGATACCTTGAACGGTATAAATTTCGTACTCTTTATATTATTGTATAAGATATTTTCCATTTAATATGGTAACAAAAGTTTGCTGTTGGATTGGATGCATAATAATAATAACTATGTATTAACTATTAGTAAAATAAAAAAAAAGTAAAGTACCTAACTGAATGCAGCTCTATCGGTAAAACAGTTCAGCTCGCCGATTTAAATCAAGATGGCGAACACAACTGCGACTGCAGCGCCACGGCATTGTTTATGAACCAAATCGGCAGTCAGTCAACATGGCGGCCGCCACTGCGCGGCCGGGCAGATCGTGTGGTGTACAGTGATGTCCGCGTCCGCGCCCCACGCCCACGGGCGCACCCCCGTGCGGCGCAGGGGGCACCAACACCACCCGCGGTTGAGGGGAGACCGTGTTCCCGCTCCCGGGGCCTCCGCAAACACAACTCCGTCCAAACAAGTGACCTTAGACACTCAAGCAGACAATGTTATGCCTAGTGTCAATAGTGTTAGTGAATCTCAAGAACTGACAAGGACGAATAGTGACGACGCACTTTCGAATCGAAACACAATCGAGGACTCGAATATTGATGATGAAATTGAATTTGATTTTTCAATTGCTGGTGTAGAATCGAATGTCAGTTCGGATGATGATTTTTCGTTCAAAGAGGAAAGGTCGGCGGGTGACGGAGCAGAGGTGATCGTAGCTCCATCTGATATATCAGATGACGATCCAGAAACTGCAGAACTCGCAAAACTTAGATGTCCTAGCGAGTGTACAGAAGTCCTAGCGGCTAGAGAAAACCGCCGTAGGCGAAGATGTGCCGATTATCCAGGTCTTGCTTTTGGAAGTTCGATATTTTCTTCGGATACGATGATGAAATTTTCTATAATCAAGAATGAGTTGCAGAATATTAAGAATACGGCGTTAAAAAGGGTAACGACCTATATTATTACAGTTTAGTTCGGATGTATGTGTGAGGGAGGCGGCCAAATGTGCTCAGAACTATTTTTAATCGTATTCCGTCAGAGAAGTCTTTAGTGCTCACTAGGAGCGAGGCATGTTGCGCGCGTGCCGATCAGCTGTGCCACTGACATTTCATGACTTGTTTACCCGGGCAAATGCTTTCCTTAGCGCTAGATGTCGTAGCAATCGATGTTACAACAGTAGCCCTTATTTAATAGAAAATATTAAATCGTGGAGCTTTTTTTAATATAGTTTCAGTATTTATAGTTAGTGAATTGATTTTTTTTTTTATAAATTAAATGTTTTGTACTTGGAGACTTATACTGTATACTGTTCATTATAAAATGCCGTGACATCGTACGAACAGACGCTATCTTAAGTGTTTACCTAATAAATAACTGGGCAACTGATAAGGTATTGTTAGTATTACACTTTAGATGATATATATATTTATATATATCATCTAAGTATGATACTCTAAATGGATAACTACGACAAGCGATATTTAGGTCAGCGTTTCTTACAAAATATGTTCTTGAATATTTGACGTTACCATATCTTTTGTTTAGGATCATCATGGTTTTATATTTTACTCATACTCTTTTTTTTAACAGCGGGTACTTTTTACTGAGTTGCTCTTTTCGTTTTAAAATAAATAATGATTCGTAATTAGGTTATGTCATAACTTGAATTGAAATCGTTTTAGCAACGAAATCTAAATTATAATATTTGTGCTTCGAATATTAAATGTTTTATGTAATACTTTGCGTTAGTTACGGGCAATGATACTAGCGTGAAATTAATAACGAAGACATTACCCAATAATTTCTTCTACTGTTACATGAGACTTTGTTTATTTTTATTTCTTATGGTACAGTTGTTATATTGTCAGTTGGTATATTTTATTACATAGAGCTGAAAGGTTAACATTTTTAGCATTTCCATTACATACTTCCGCTGTTTATAATAGTACTAAAATATGTACTTAGTTAACGATATCAATGGTTAGTTAGTAACATTTATTTAAACTTCGAAGGTAAGAGAAAGTAGAAAAAGATCCATGTTGTAAAAATTCGTCCTAAGCTACGTCAGATTTTTTGAGGTACTTAAATTAAATAAAAATAATTTTCTTAGGTAAAAGGATCACAGAGTCGTCTATAGCTCGTAAAACGTTACAATTTTCAAATACTGGCACGACTACTGCTCGACTACAATTATACTTTCTTTTTTTACCACTTTACATTGTTTTTCGTGCTATAATATCTTATCTTTTTGCCTTTAGCACTTTTTACGCAAATATTTGAATCGAATCAAGGTAATCAAAGCAATTTAAACGTGAACAATCATATTTAAAAGAAAGAAATGATAAAAGAAAAAAATAAATTAAATCGCCTGCTATGTTTTGACTTTAAATTTTTTGTTTAACAAATTAAAACAAGTTTTAAAAACATTACTTAAACATGTACTTTCAATTGAATAACAATATCTTATTTTATATACCTATATAGTTACAAGGTTTTATCCGATTTGAGAGTGTAATGTTTATTATGAGTGTATTGAATTTTTATAGAGAATCCTGCATCTACCACGGAAAACAAACAAGGATTTGATCACATTGAACTAAACAGTTACGTAAAAACTGTGGCTAAATACAAACAAGGCTATATCAGAACTTGTGTTGTGAAAAGTTATTTAAAAATACTATTGTTTCTTCGTCGATCTCATTTTAAAATATTTTTGAAGGTATAATTAAAGGCAAGTAAACGCTGCGTTCAACCCAGTGATCAATTCAGATGAATTCAGAATCAGGCAAACGACACTACTAAAATATATGTATTTAGGCAACTGTTTTACACCTCTGTACATACCTATAACATTTCGTATGAGATGAGAGAAAGATGTGACATCTGGTGACGATACAATACATTTATTGACGCAAAAAATGAGGGGAATTTAAAGACTATTTATTTAGAGTCGACGATGCGGTCACGACTCCCGGATTCCTAGCAATAGAGGCGGTCACTTTTAAAATAGGACATTTAACTGCAAACCAGTATAAATTTTCCAAAAGTTTAAAATCCGCCACGCTGTAAGGCATTAACACCAAGGCGAAAATTTGAGAAAGGCGGACTGTGTCGCTAAAAGAAACCAATTAAACATGATTTTGTGATGGTACATTAAATTTGGTGGCAGCTTCCACGTCAATACAAAGGTTTGGCCACTTTTGGAAAAAAAATTGTTTACATTTCAAAATATTGTGGAAATTTTTTAAGAACGTCTTGATTTTGCAATTTATTACGCCATTTTAATTTTTCGCGTAATAATAACGTCGTTTCCCTCGGTAATTTGATTGCAATGGGTCTGTGTTTGCAAAAAGTTTTTTAAATACAAATGATTAATATCCTTAACATTCTTCTATGAACCTAAATTTAAGAGAAAAATAACTGGATGTTTGATAAGGAAATATTTTTTGTTGTACTTTATCACATTTAATAAGAAGTTGTATTTACTAACAAAGACTCCTCATTTTCAAAATACAATGTAGGAGCGATTTGAAACTAAGCATTGTTGGTGCTTCTAACTCTGTCCTGAAAGTTATGCCAAGGTTATCTAAATTAACGCATCATATAATAAATAATCATACGTTGTTACTCGTGTTGACTTTTTAGTGCGATCGAATTATGGAATTAAAAAGAAACTAAACTTAACTTGTTTATTTAAATAATATTTTTATTAATCTACTTGATACCATACCGGCGATGATATTTGCTATTTAGTAGTGTTAATGAATGGAAATAACCCATCGACCGTTTCGTATTTTTTTGCAGTCTGTGTCCATTTAACGGAATTAAAACTAGGCGCATACTTTCTAAATTGCGTCATATGAAATTCGGTTCCTTTTTTGTGCACTTGGCTCATTGCTCGTCCATTACCTGTTTTCTTAGCGAGCAAGCGAAAATGTCTTGCGGCTTGTTGGTTGTAACAATAGAGGGCGTTTTTACTGATTTTATAAATATTCTTAACTTAATCATTACATATTTTTATTTCACCTAAATATGTAACCCATACGTGAGATATAAATCGGGAGTAAAAATTAGTTAGATTAACTACTTCAACCATAAATATCACTACTGTATACGTGTATTTTAATTGTAATAGAATGATATCCAACTATGAATTTAGTTGTTGTTGGTATTGTATTTACTATTTATAACTTCCGCCTATACATTGTGCGTAGTCGTTGAACCATTTCACCAATCCCATAATTTATGTACTTATTTGCTTTCAAAACAACTCTTTTGACCCTCCAGGATGTAACTCACGTCAACCGTTAACAGGTGGTGCTAGTGTGCTTGCTCGATTGTGTGACGTTAACCCTAGTTTACCGACTTCATTGCTTTTTACCGACCGTAATACATTTCGTTGTCAAACTCGGAAGTAGTCACGTTGTCTAAATTATGAAATTGGGCGTGATAGCAAGAAAATTTTAGTAATTGCTTCGTTGTTATTATTATCATCTCAAAGAAAACTGTTGCAGTAAAGAAAACGTCATTAGTAAAGTGGTGATAAAGTTGCATCGACAAGTTGACGGCGGCCATTTTATTTGCCGGCTGTGTTCATTCGTGCTCAGCTATCTCCGCGATACGGAGCTATAACGAACCGGGCAGTCAGTTGGCATTTTCGCAAGCAGAGCGAAGGTGTCTTTAGTTTTAACTCTTGGTAACTACATTTAACACAGAAGTGAATAAAAATGACTACAAATATGCAGCAAGGAACCATTTTAGATGTTTTAAAAAAGAAGATGAGGCAAACAAAAGAGGAAATGGAAAAATATAAGGACGAATGTGAGGAATACCACAAACGATTGCAAGTGGAAATAATGCGGAGAGAAGAAGTAAGAAAACGTATAATTTATTTGTGTTGTGCATTGTGGAAATGTTGATATTTTGTGTTAAAATACGGGACAATGTTAAGTTTTCTTGAGATTTTGGGGATATCAGAATCAGTAGTTATGTCGCTATCTACCTATATAGTGAGTAATGTCCGGCCATACTTAGGTGTGCCTTCGACGTACGCATATTTACCTCTCTTTCTAGTATAGGTGCTTTTGACCGTGTTAGAGTGAAAAAGAAGCTCGTTATTTTTCGTGGATAACTTCATTCTTTCCATAGACTATGATGGAACTAAGCGCTTGGAATAATATAATTTCCCTTAGCATTAAATATGTTTTGAAGAAGTGATATAATATATATATTTTTTTAATAAAGTTTATCGTATTTGCCTTTATATATGCCACTTTGGTACTTTAAACGACTTGAGATTCAAAAGTAAATCTTTAACCACGTTATTTAGTTTGAGACGATTCATGGAATGGCCTAGTAATATTCTTCAACATAAAAACATTCTTAAGGACGTCCTAGCAGGACCACGCCGGCGCCAGGAAGGCGTGTCCGACTTCTCGTCGTTATCAGAATATGACGTAATGCATTAGGGTGAAAATAATTTTTTTTTTTAATACTTTTTCTGAAACTATAAAAATAAAAGAGCATAGGTATTTGACCGTCGTCGAATTAGCATTTTTAATTGTTTCAGTTTTTTTTACTTTTAATATCCTTTCTTTAAAAACCAACCTGTTATCAAGATCCATATCAAACCGTAGATAAGCAAATGCTAAGTCTTAAATGTTTCAATTGTAATGGCGATATTAAAAAGGTTCATTAACATTCATTAGGTTCAGGTTTCGTTAAAAAATATCAATTCCGGTTAAATATGTGCGAACCAAATAATGTATAATATAACTCGACCAGGTTAATATAAGTAAAATAAGACTATTTTATCGAATCAAAATATTGGCATTCAATTATTTATAACTGTTTATATGTTGATGGGGTTGGATGCTAGAATTTTAGTCTTACATTTTTATTGAAAATGTATTAATATACAAATAACTTAAATGTGTAAGAGTTGTGGGCTGTTAAAGATTTGCATACATGTACATAAATGTAATGATATTTTTTACCGATCTGTTAATCGAATCGGGTTGACAAATACATATTAATACTCCTTTTTTTAATGTAACGACTTTATTTTCCTTTTCTGAGAAACATGGTATATAATATAATCGCACGAGTTCAAGGTTGCCTACCAACTGCTGCCAATGACACCAAAAGTACACGAATAACTCATTAATACCACGTCGAGAATGTTTGTTCTTTTTTTTTTTTTAATTATTAGCATGGATTCATTTTCCAGCTTGTAAAACTGTGTTAGCTTAGGACTTATTGCCGCGATGAGTTATTGGCCTCTATTATTATTAGCCTACGCGATCGCGACGGCACAGGATAAACCGAGAAACTGGGATCCGAGCTTCCTTTGAACAAGGCCGTGTGATGTCATAGACATGTGCGGGCCGTTGAATATAAATAAAGTCCGCTACACCGGCGAAATATTCCGAGCGGCCGTCAATTCTGGACACGTATAATGTGTCGACATTCAACAATGCGCCTCCCGTGTACTTACGCGTACACGACGCCCATGAACAGAAAGCAATTACATTTTTGTCCTGCTCGTTTCTGGCGGTGACGTGCAAAATGCGATGTGCGTGTATGCCGATCGGTGCACAGAGTAGCGTCTGGAATGTCATAGATTATGTTTATATTTTATCGTCGACCATCCTTTGGTCCGAGTCGTGATGTGGAGATTTTTAAATTTCGCTCGTTCATTATTTTTGATATTGATTTATTTAAATGTGGAATACTAAATTACTTAGAGAAAAAAGAACATTGATAGCACTACGCATGAAAAAAAAAACAATTTGTTTTCACTCTATGGTCAATTAGATTTTATTCATGGGATTATTTTTCTTTTTACAATTTATAGCTTAATTCGCTTAAGACAATTCTGTGGCCCATCTCCGCAGGCCGAATCCGAGGTGGCTGCACTCAACCGACGTATCCAGCTGTTGGAGGAGGACCTTGAGAGGTCCGAGGAGCGTCTCGCCACCGCCACCGCCAAATTGGCTGAAGCCAGCCAGGCCGCCGACGAATCTGAGCGGTGAGTCGCAGACATTGTATCATTTGTATAATTTTAGAATGGAAAAGCTAGTGAAATACTTTAAAAAATAACAAATGGCTTAATGAATCAGCCAAAAATTATAGTTAACTAGCTGCTGCCCGCGACTACGTCTCCGTAGAATAGGCTGAAGGCGTAAGATTCGGACAGAAAGACAGATATACATAAAATATGGATATAAATTATAGCCTATGTCTTATTCTGATGTAAAAGCTATATTGTAAAGTTTCATTAAAATCCATTCAGTAGTATTTGCGTGATCTTTCAAGTGTGTATGTATACATTCGCGTTTACATTAGTGAGGATAGTTTAAACCTTCATTTATATTTTAATTTAGAGCCACTGTTGAAGATATGGAATAATTTAGAAGCAGATCACTTTTTTTCTAAAACTTTATTAGCTCACACAAAGCCGAAGATCTGATTCTACTTTTTATCTTCGCCTAGAGCATTGCAAGGAGTATTGTTGTAGCTATTAAAAAATAATTAATATTCATTTGGTACTGCTCGAGCGATAAAAATCAGGTTACGTTATCAGTTGCATAGGATAGATTGAGATTGAAAAATTATGCAATGAATTTTAAGCACCCAAAATGGGTAACGATCAGCATCTGGCTTTGCAATTTAAAATTATAATATTATGTTAAATATCTGCTTTGACATTTACGGGACACATTTGTGTGCTTAAAATTCGGTGTGCTTTACATATTTGTACAGTGTTTTTTTTTTAAAATTTCTAATTATATGCGCATGAGTGTTTTGTGTTTTCCATCATATTTTAAATAGTTGTAAAATAATATCTGTCGCCCACTTTTTTCATTAAAAAATTTGGACATAACCTCATTTTTCGAAAATTACGATTCAATCACATACCGACTTTGCTTTTTCTTTTTCATTATGTAACGAAAAAAAAGCCACATATCATAGAATATCATACATATCAACTTCAACGCGTTCAAAACGAGACGACCTGTGAACTCCCCGCCCGAGGTTATGTCTATGATACTGTACTGTATACTCGATACAGTTTTCGTTTGTTTCCTCACTCGCGTCCCATCGTCACCCGTTGTGCGTCGCCGTTATAACATTGCATGTGTTTGGCCCCGCACTAACCAGAATACGCAAGGCGCTGGAGAACCGGACCAACATGGAGGACGACCGCGTGGCCATACTGGAGGCGCAGCTCTCGCAGGCGAAACTCATCGCCGAAGAATCCGACAAGAAATACGAAGAGGTGACCGCTTGGCCCGTATGATTATGGCGAGTTCGCATCGTGTCAATATGCACGCTCGTTGCGACCCTTTCGCGGACCCCTTTTGACCCTTTCGCGATCCCTGTCGACCCTTTCGTGAACCCTTTCGACCCTTTCGCGAACCCTTTCGACCCTTTAGCGAACCCTTTCGACCCTTTCGCGGACCCTTTCGACCTTTTCGCGTACAATTTCGACCCTTTCGCGTACACTTTCGACCCTTTCGCGTATACTTTCGACCCTTTCGCGGACACTTGACCCTTTCGCGAATACTTTCGACCCTTTCGCGTATACTTTCGACCCTTTCGCGGACACTTTTGACCCTTTCGCGGACACTTTCGACGACCTCGATGAGAAAAAATTTCGACAGGTAAACATTCGTCGACCAGGTTTTCCTTGACACGTCACTCGCGAGTGTGCGCACCCTTTTAAAAGCGAAAGTATCGAACGCGGGTGAGTCAACGCGTCCTTAATTTGTAACGTGATCATATTCGGCGAAGACTTAAAAAGTCACCGGTCGAAGGTCCACGACACATCGATACGATTGTCGAACTTATACCAATAATTTGACGTGTTGATAAGGGTGTTGACTAAGTCTGTGGAATATTGTTTAAGTCGTGCAAGCATTATTAAATTCCGATGAGCGTTTGTAATGACATGATGCTTTAAATATGATGTGTATCATCTAGAAATTAATGTTAGTCTATAAGGTGTTTGAATGTTTTGGCCTTTTGTCTTTTGCATATGTTTTAAAGGCCGGATCATTTAATTTTGTGTTTTCTTAATTTAATGGAGAATTAGCATTAAACGTGAAAATTTTTTAACACATTTCATGCTAGTCTCGATTAGTCTCTCTTTCAGCCGTTTCCGTGAAGTGTTGTTGTTGGCTTTGTGTGTCTCGTGCTACTGTGACGGTCATTGCATGTCTTCTAACTCTCGACGTTCGCCCTCGATCTGCTATAGTTGCTAGTCGTTCTGTTTTCACTCAAGTTTTGTGTTGTGGCGCCTAGTGCCCGCAAGGTTCTGGAGAACAGGTCGTTGGCCGACGAGGAGCGCATGGACGCCCTGGAAAACCAGCTGAAGGAAGCGAGGTTCCTCGCCGAGGAGGCTGACAAGAAATACGATGAGGTCTTTGAGTTTCGATGTCGTTTGGTTTGCTTGATCCGCTGCACGACTGCGCATTACTCTACCTACCTCCCCTATGCCCGCTATCGGCCGCCAATCGCTCGCAACCATCCGCGGCGGCAAACTTTAATACCTATAAATCAGCCGATAATTCAGTTTGTCTGTGTGTCCGTCCAATGTACCTATTAAACATTTGCGACGGCCTTTCCACCTAATACGTAATCTCCGCCCCCTTTTGTCCTCTTAATCGATTTCTTTTGTTTAATTGTTAACCTATCCGTTTTCGAAGTGCTGAAAGTAAGAAGTGAAACTAATCGTGTCCTCTTTAACAAAAATGTCTGTGTGTCTGTGTGTGTGTGTTCTGACTTTTATTTAAAATGCCCGGCAAGCGTCACCCGTGATCTTAGACGAGTCGTGATTTATTCCGCCGAGCCATGAGCCGACTGACTGACTAGTCGATGGGGCGATAAATGCTACACCTTATGCGTGCCGGCGTCAAGGGTGCAGATGCGGTCTGTTACGCCATTAGTGGACGCCAGATGGCGTGCGCGTCCCAATTGCCCCGTGCGCTCTGCCCAACAAGGCGCTGCCGGCGCGATCTTGAGTTTCGCCACCTTATAAGGCGAGCCAAAGCGGCCGTTGCGCAACGCTCGAAGGCTCGAGCGTAAAAACGTCTGCGCGTAATGGCAGTCCGTTACATAAATAAGCCCGTGATACGTGCGTTTTCTCACACCGTGTGCTGGTCTCCAGGTGGCACGTAAGCTGGCCATGGTCGAGGCCGACTTGGAGCGCGCAGAAGAGAGGGCCGAGGCCGGCGAATCGTAGGTTCTTTGATCCCGCCCGGGGGGCCATGGCGACGCATGTTACACCACTACCGAACTGTCATACCGTACCGACGCTCGTTAAAGAAATTCGCTTACATGTTGCATAGTTTCCAATTCTCAAATTTTGTAGCGTTTTTTAAAGAGTACGGAAGGACGTTTATCGTAATTTTAAAATAATAACGTATCGATATCGCGATAAGCTTCCAGATGATTAAATTTTGATTATCAGTTTTTTTTATTGGTGTAATTTTGCGCTATTCGGTGGTGGACATGCAACGTTGTGGTCTCCAAGGTTTTCTTGGGCAATTTATTTTTGCCAATGCATGGTTGGTTGTTCATTTATGTTGTTAACATTTGCACTTTAACCGATTTATCTATATTGTCGGTAACCCAGTTTTTTCAGTTTGTTCTTTTCATTAAATTTTGCATGTAAATTCTAGGTTGTCTACGAGATGGAAGCAGCGAACGAGATATTTTTTTTATATTTTGCATATATATTACTACATTAATCGCCTAGTGCTGCCTGTTATATTTTGATAATTGCATAATTTTAAGTTTAGGCAGGGCAGGGTTGCGAGCGGACTGTTTGAGATCGTAAGCGACTTTGTCCTGTCGACTGTTAAAAACAAGGGTTGCCCCATCTCATGGATATATCTTATGTTTACTATCATGTCAATGTGTCTACTAAACTTCTGTCCTCGTGTGTGTTAGTATCGGACTACGAATCGGCTAGGCTAGGCTAGGCTAGGTCGCCGTGGAGTGTGTGTGGTATAGGGCAATTTTCGTTTTCAGATATGCACCGCATTACACCAGAATTACTGGCCGTATGCGTGCCGCACATATGCAAGCGCACACATCACATAACGAATATGACGCACTAGATAGCACTTAGATTAACTTAAACGATATTGATACTAAAATACTTTTTTTAGACCTAAATGTTTTGGGACAACCCTCGTTTATTATTTTACTTACAATCGAGCTCGGACGCCACTCTCGACCGCCCGCTTTACGGCAATCCAGTTTTGCTTGCAACTATCCCCTTGCACACCTTTTAGCGGAAAACCCCCTATCGTAGTCTTCATATAGAACCAGTTCATCCCCCTCCCCCTCATCTGATCGAAACGCCACATTTCGGTCCGACAACCCACACACGACCATCCCCGACCCGTGTATCCCCAGCACGACAAGTCCACGCCGATGCACCGTCCGCCATTGGCACTTAATACGTACGGCGTAGGGCGCGTTTTGCACTGCACAGCACGGCCTCGGCGCGCGGTCGTGAGTGGCGCGCGGCTCTGTAGCGGTAGTGTGTGTTGTGTGTGTGTGCGTGTGCGTGTGGGCGTGTACTAACGCTCGGCGGGGCGGTAGGTGGCGCGCAAGCTCGTGCTAATGGAGCAGGACTTGGAGCGGGCGGAGGAGCGGGCCGAGCAGAGCGACTGGTGAGTAGCGCCCCGAGCGGTGCGGCCCGCGGAAATTGCCAATTCCACGCGGACCGCGGAAGTTGCCAATTCCACGCGGCCGGGACGTACAGTGCTAGGTCAACGCATACTACGGTGACAGCCGATGGTGGTAGACGAGCAATTTCGAACTCGGAATTTGTCAATTCCACATGTTCGCGGAGCTTTAACCACCACGCCTTTATGAATATCTATAGTTAGGTTTCTTGAGATGCCCGCTGATAGAGGGCATAGAACTTTTCACCGAGCAAGTTAGCAATTACATGTATTAGTGGATGGAACTATCCATCCACAAAAACATGGAAATCTATATATATATATGTAAGTTAGTCCGCGAAAACAAATAATTCCCTTCGCTTTAAAACCACAACTAAAGGATTCTTAATACAGAATGCGTCCCCATTGAGGTTTGCTTGAACAAGGACATTTTATATGAATAATAGTTTTTTATCGTTACTTTACATTTTCTATTATTTTATTTCTCATTTCAAATTTCATCCATAGATTAGACAAAAACTGATAGTTTTTTATTTCTGAAGTAATAAGTAAACGTTTTACTATTAGTCGCTGGCTTCTTTATGAATGCTTCTTAATATTTAATTCTGCGAAAGTTTCAAAACACTACATACATAATTATGTTAAACTGTTTTAAAACTTTCAATAGTATTTATGTTAATAATATTTAATGATGTGCATGTCATGTCCCTGGAAATCTATATTTTTGTATACCTTTTGATATTTGGAAATAAGAATATAGATTAGCCATTGAATATTTATTATCTGTAACTTGCACGCTTTTTTTACCCCTCAAAGTATTAATGTTGAATGCATTTTTGGAATGCTTTGTTCACTCAGTATTTTTTTCTTTACAATATTAAAGCAAATAGTAATAACTGAAATAAATTTGTTCAATTTGACGTAAAATAATTTAAATGACAAGTCATACAAATGATTTTTTTAATAATTTTTTTTTATTAATAGTTAAATCAATCTAAATTAGATAAAATTTTGCGTAAAAAGTCACAAATTGTCGATCTTTTTCTTTTAACAAATCTTTTGGATCATCTTCATCATACTTTCAGTGGAAATTGATTGTTTCTTCTTTTATTTTTCAGCAAAATCGTAGAGCTTGAGGAGGAACTCCGTGTTGTTGGTAACAACCTTAAGTCGCTGGAAGTCTCCGAGGAGAAGGTATATTGCCCTCTGTTTAATTCTTAAAATAGCTTGGAATATTTTTCCAAAATACTTGAAGAGGTTTTTACGATAACTTTTAAAGGAAAATAATTTCAAATGGTGTATGAAAAAAAAAACGTCCGCAGGGAAATTACAATGGTAACGAACAAAAGTTTATAAGAACGACGCACCAACCATTTTTAAGATAACCCAGACTTATATATGTATGTATGTGCGTTTGTTTCTCAATCACAAAGAATACACATACAAATCAGAGGAATGGCGATGTATGTCTACACAACGTTTACTTTTGAGGTTAACCGTGTTCCGTTCCACGCAGGCCAACCAACGCGAAGAGGAGTACAAAAATCAGATCAAAACCCTCACCACCCGCCTAAAGGAGGTGTGAACGCGAAACAGATAAACGTTTTTAGCGAGTGTTTTGACGCTTGCCCGATTTAACTGCATCTCATAGCTCAGCCTACGCCCGGGCCCACTTAATGGGTCGAGGGTACTCAATAGCCTCGTAATCGATGTTGTGTTCTCCCCATAACAGTTTTTTTTTTTAGTTTTTAGCCTATTAATCTGTTGTCCCTCGTTAAACGCGTCGCGCAGTGTTGCCCCCTCCATAGGGATACGGAGCGTTTTCCAGCAGGGCGACACTGTGCTACGTGTTAGCATGCGAGTTGTGTTATCGATGTTACCGTGCACACGTGTTAATATATAATGACCGCAGGCGACGCAAAGGGAAGAAACGTACGAGGGCCAAGTTAAAATCCTCAGCGCACAGCTCAAAGAGGTAATGCCCGAAGGAGGCGCGTCAAGTAGATAGATTTGGTTTTGGTCGTAGTGATGCTCACCGTCGCAGGTCCTAGGCCCTAGCGCTGCTAGTCGAATTTACCTTGTACATGTTCCATTTGAGGCTTCATTTTTATTTTCCTGTATGGCTATTACATAAGGGCTGTTGTGTTGGTGGTAGGCTCGTGTGGACGTGCCTTTCGACGGTTGGTGCTTCAACTCTCGTATATATTTGAGATCTCTATCCTCTATGTACATCCTGTGTATTAATTCTCTCTATATACCTATTATCTATGTACTATGTGCGCCTGTGTTGTGATCGTACGCTTTTTTCTTGTATTGGGTCTCCATTCATTTTACATTCGATTTTTCAATTCGTTTGTTGAGTTTACATCGAGCATTATGATTTTTGGGTATTGGTATATATTCGAGTTCTTTTTTCAAAATTGATTACGCGACGCGCGTGGAGTTAACTTTGAGGTTAGTTAGGTTAAACAATGTGGGACGGCGGCTTAGTCATAATTTAGGCAGTATGATTTTGCCGCTTTTAGCCCTATTTGATATAATTATATTCGAGTTTATTTTCAAAATTGATTATGCCATGGGGGTTAGTTATAAATTAGTCTGCCTGGTCGCTGAGGCCAATACATTTCGCGTACGGTCACAACTCGCGCGCTGGGTCGCTAACGGCTCGTGTGTGCCAGGCGATGGCGTCTCGGGAGCACGTCGAGGATAAGATACACAGCCTCTCGCAGAAGCTCACGCAAGTAAGTCACGCTCGCCGCCATTACGGGCTCTGGTCGCCATCTTGTTCGGTTGCGCTGTTACATGTGACGTCACCGGCCGGGAAAAGAAAAATGACAGTTATAAGTAATGATGAATGGTCTGTGACAAATATTCTGTATGGAGAAATCCCCAAGACGTTTAACTGTAATGATAATAACGATCCAGACAATAGATTTATTTTAATCGATCTCTTTAGATTTATCAATTGAAACACTGTTAACTTTAGCTGCTTGCAATTATGATTGAATTAATGTTATTTAATTTTGGTCTCAAATGAAAAATTTTACGTTCTACGTTGTTGTTACTGATCGGCGACCAAAGCCCGTCTTTTCTATTGTATATATTGACATTTATCAACATGTCTATGCATATATTATTATGGTGAAGGGCTATTTTCGGTATTTATTTTTATCATTTCCATAGTGATTCAGCCAACTCGGCACTTAGCTGCTTTCGGTCAAGGTAAACTGCATGTGGTGTTACTGTGTCGCTTTGGCTTTTTTACTTTGTGATTTTGTGTAAGATTTAATTTCATTCAAATCTTTTTTTTTATGTTACGTTCCAAATTAACTCAATTTCCAAGACAGTAAAATTAATTAAACAAAGTTTGTTTCAAGTAACTCAACGTAAAATAACTGATACTGTACATATATTGATTAATGAAGATTACTAGTAATTTATATTAATAAAAAACTAAAACTTCGATTTGCACGGTTTCAAAATATAAACAGTCTATTCTTTGTCTTCGTTAGTTTCCAGCAGTTTTGATACGTTGATTAAGTTCGAAGAATTTTCATTTTATTTTTAATATTTGAAATATCTCAAAGAATAGGCTGTTAAATTGAGTTCAGAAATTTCAAATCTCCGTCTGAATGTTTGCAGGCCGAAGCGCGCGCCGAATTCGCAGAGCGCTCCGTTCAGAAACTTCAAAAGGAGGTCGACAGGCTTGAAGGTAACGGCCGTTTCAACTTTGCCATTTTAAACTTGTCAAAAGTTAAATTTATATTATTTTTAATCTATATATTTTTTATAATTGAGAATGTCAATTTATATCCATGTTCCGCGAACGGTCGAGAAGTCGATTTTGTCCGCCTCGACCAGGAACCCATAGCTTTTAGGACACATGAATAATATTTTGTTTCTGATGCTAGTTCCCAAGGTTCTGCGGTTACTATGTGCGATGTACTCGGGTACGGCAGTTTGCTAAGTAGCGGTTAATGTCTCTGAAGTCAAGTTGCAACCAGAGTTTGACGAAATAACTAATAATAAATTGCTTTGAACGCGTCAAGTGCACAGTTTGAAGCGCTTGATTTTCAAAGTTGTACAGATAGATGTGAAAGCTTCAATTACTCTATCATCGCGCTATAATTCCAGCTTAATTTTACTTTTTTTTTCTCTTATACAGTAACAAGATTTTTTTTTTTTAATTTCTCTAGTTCTTGCTATCTGTGCACACAACTGATCTGCTTTGTGGTAGCTCTAGGGCAAGTCTCAGTTTTGTGCACATCTCAAGTTGGCATGTATTTTTATGTCTAGCTCTAGATTGCTCGGAGTTTTGATGTTATTTTATGTGATTGCATGGTTTTTACACCGTTGTATAATTAATTTATGCCTGTGCTGTTGTTTCTCGTACGGACGACGCGTCGTGCCCGATCGGGATTGAAGGTCGATAGAATGAATAGCTTAGTTTTTTTTTTTACAAATGTTTGAATTATCAATATCGCGGTTTATTCGTTTTTTTTTTTTCAATGGAACATTCGTTTATTTTTTTTTCTCAACCCGTTTGTATCTCTCGATCGCTCGATGCACCGTACGTACGATTTGCCGCGCAAAACTTAAATACGCCCGAGTGAAGACCTCTGCCCGTTTATCGCTATGTCATATGTAAAAAAAACAAACAAGAAAAGTCGCTCGCGACCGAAGTGGGAGCGAGACGGGGCGCGATCACGCGTCTTTTGAATTTGATGTAAAAACAATCCCGTAAAAAACAAGAAGGTCACTCGCGACCGAAGTGTGAGTGAGACGGGTTGCGATCGGTGCTGCGACGCGAGCGAGAGAGCAGCACTCCCCGTATCGGTCCTTGCAGGCGTCATTTGAGTTTTGCGTGTGTACGTGTTGTTGTTCGCCCCCCCCCCGTGCGCTCGACTTATGGTGGCCGCGTCCGACCTTGCAGACGACCTGGTTGCCGAGCGCGAAAAGAGCAAACTCCTGCAGGAGGAGATGGAGGCCACGCTCCACGACATCCAGAATATGTGAACATCTCGCCAAACCCCCCCCCCCCTCCCCTCCCGCCACGCGCCGACTACAACCCCCCTCGCTCGATTCACCCCCCTCCATTGAATGTAGCGAATAACGCTTTATTCGCATCTCTCGCTATCCGCCATCCGCCATCTTTGATTACTGCGGTTTGTAATGCAAATGAAGCCCAATCTTTTTTTATATTTTTATCGTTTTAACGCGTCTCTATTTGTCTGTGTTGCTCTTCTGTACTTTTATTTTTTTCGTATTAAACTTTGACAATCGCAGTGGGTGGTGAATCGGGTGAGCGACTAGACGTTTCTAGGTTTAGTGTAATAATTGCCAGCCGCTTTTTTTCTATTTGTAACGTGAGGGAGTGTTCGCTACGAGACACTGCCAAGTGCAATTGTTTTTAAATCTCGTACACAGATTACTAATATTATTATTATTATTTGCTATTCAGATTTATAAAGACAAATTCATTCCGCAAACGGTCTTTGAATGCCGCATCTTCTTGAATTTTCTTGCTCATTCCATTCTCAAGACAACATTCCAATTCGGGGACCAACCTATTTCTTATTCACTACCTGTTACATTACTGAATCAGTATTTGTGTAACGATTTCGTCTGTTATTGTTAAGGCATTGATGTAATAAAATTATTAATAATCACCATGTGCGTGCACCGTTTGCTTATAATTATATGAAATTTTTATTTACTTTTACGTTAGGAGAGATTAGATATATTTTTTTTTTCTATTTAATTTCGAGTGACGGTAACGCCGCGTATTTTGAATATTTATAAGAATATAACGTAGCTCCTATGAACTGTTTCCATTATTTGTTTCGAGTACGATTCTCCCCGTGTCATAACTATTATGAGCTTTTTCCCTTGTTATTTATTTAATTTAAACGCTAGGTAAATGACAACCGTACCGTGTGAGAGGTCTTGTTCGAATGCGGTTGGAACGCGTTGGTAATGTACCCGCGCTGGCAATCATTTCCTACAGAGTGGCGAGACTCTGCCTTATGTAGCGCGACATTCAACATTCTTTCGCATGTTACTAAAACTTCGAACAATCGAGACGGTTCCGTCTATCGAAATGCTATTGATTCATCATAAATTATCTTCGATCGATATATAAGTTTCGTGGAGAAAATAATTAATTAATGATTTTAAGAGTATTCTAACACAAGTGTTTATAAATATATAATATTATTATTTTTTAAGCTTGTTTTTGTTTCATTTTTCTCTTTTCACTAATGCGTGTGCGTGAACCCTTCAACCAGTCTGAGTTACTAATCACGTGTCGATTCATCAGCTATAATTTGAACGTCCATCTTGTCGATTGCCAGTCATTTGTCCACATTGTCTTTGCCACGCAATTGTCGGAGTTGCGGGTAGTACTAAAAAGCAATTTCCAATGTCAATAACTCGCCCGAGGCGCGGGGCAATGCAAGAGGAGGAAGCATGGCGACGCCGTCGTGTTTGATAAGTATATGTATCCTAATGTGAACGGAGCATGCGGACGTGTACGAAGGCGATGCCGACTAGATTAGCGCGCCCCCCGGTGGTAATAAATAAAGCATGCATCCCGCGAGAGAGGTCCGGCCGTCCCCCGAGTGTTAACAGCGACCGAGGCATGGGCCGGGCACAGCATGGCGCTCCGCGAGGTCCGACCTGCGTGGTGGCTCACCGCCGACGCCTGACTCCAGATGACCTGATCAACGAGATCGAGAAGTACAACGACATCGGCGATAACATTGACGACGCGGTCGTCGAGCTGATACCGGGCGTGCAGCCGACGCAGAGGCAGCTCGAGAACGCGGTGAAGAACCGCGCCGCGCAGCAGGAGGCCGCCAAGAGGGAGAAGGAGAGGCAGGAGGAGGCGGCGAGGAGGGAGAAGGAGCGACAAGAGGAAGAGGCTAGGAGGGAGAAGGAACGGCTCGAGGAGGAGGCGCGCAGGCCTCCGCCCCCCCCCCCCCCCGCGGCGCCAGCACCAGAGCCGGCGCCCGCAGAGGCCCCCGCCCCCGCCCCTGCAGAAACCCCCGCCCCCGCAGAAGCCGCGGCCCCCGCAGATGCCCCAGCCCCCGCCGCCGAAGCCCCTGCCCCGCCACCGGCCGACGCACCCGCCGAATAGGACCGCAGACAAATACCCAATATCGTATACCAATGCTCGTGTCGTGAATGTCAATATAATTACAGTCAGGTTGGGACCCCTCGATTGTCCCTTTGTCCCTGTTAATTTATTTGTATCTCACCTTAGAAATAAACAAAAGCTGATGCAAACATAGCTGATGGAATGGCGTTCCGCTAGGCTAGGCTCCCGTATTCTCTCTGACCGACTAACAGTAGTTTCGCGCAGTCACTGACCGCGCATACATGCGCATAATTGCGCGAATTCTGCACGGAAGCGGAGGGCGCCCTCAGGGAAATTGGACCTGACGGCGACTCTGCCCGTCGACGATACAAAACTAACGTCTCACCGCTATGGCATACAAATACTAGTGAAACATTTACCTAATTAACTTGAACACACAACTACACGACGAGATTAATAAAGACGAAGGCTTTCCTAAAATTGCATGAGAGCGTTGAGATGCCTCGATATTTTGACCGATGGCTTTACTTAGAGCGACGCATGGCTTCGAAATGAAAAGGACCGCAACATGTAAGCATAACTTGTATTATTTCTCTTCAACACGCTCTCGCATTATGTTGCCACTAATTCGCTTAAAAACTTGACTTGGAGCGCGCGCGTTGTCCTTTGAAAATTTAAATATGGCGATGTACTCTGGCATTACAATATTGTAAATGAAAATTCAACATGAGGTTCATTTTCCCATCAAGATGTATATTATCACTATTTTATGTAAATATCAATGACACGTGGCCAGGGATGTAAATTTTCATTTATGTAAATATCAATGACCTCTCTAATTAGCGCTGTTGCATCGATGTTGCCAGCAAGTACAAGTCGCAAACAGTCGTTACAGTAGGGTCGAGTCGAACTATGTTTCGATGTTCAGTTTTTAAGCGGTAGGGTTCGATTACGAAATCGAATAGTAATAATCGATTAAAACACACGAGACCCTATCTAATACACACGTGTACGCAGACGAGCTTGTCGCCGAAAAGGAGAAGTACAAGGACATCGGAGATGACCTCGACACCGCGTTCGTGGAGCTCATCCTTAAGGAATAAGCTTTCCATAGCCACACCAGCACTACGCCCAGGCGTTCCACCTGCCCGCGATTCACGCAATATCTGTATAGACGTATCTTACTTTATATTTTGTATTTATTTAAAGTATAACAATCCATAGTTTTATGGCGGTATATATTTTCGATATGTCATAATAAACAACTTATTATTTATCTATGGTTTTTGTTTAATTTTTTCCTTTTGAAACACCTTTAACATTAATTCCTGTATGCATCAAGTTTTTATCAGTTTTCGCCCCTGGTAGTATATTAGAACTTAGTAAGTTTAGAACAAATTATGAATGTGGGTACCTACATGAAGTCTTAATTTGGGAACTGTTTGACATAAATTCATATAATATATTCACCTAATAATGACAATTTTGGGACTTTACGAACAAAGTTATGATTTAGTTTTTTAAGGATAATTTAAAATAGATTTTTTTCTACGTTTATTGCAGTCATTTATATCCCTACCCATGTACAACAGCTTATGATTATAATTTTCTTAGTTGTGGTAAGTGTTTGTGTGTTTTTGTAGTTTGAATATTATTTAAGTAGTGTACATGCTTTAGAAGAAATAGTGTTTCACATTGCATGAATAATGAAAATATTTTTTTTATGCACGTTGTGTCTTATTTCGTTGAGTAATCGCAAATTGAATATATTTTTAAATACGAATTTCTGCTGTGTGTAATACACACTAATACATACGTTTAAAGAAATTCTAATTGAATAACTTCTATCATCTTTTGTAGGTCATAAATGTAACGAAATGTTTTTATTTTAATTACCTATTCGTTGATATGCAATCAACGTTGATTTTTTTTTAATTAACCATCTAATTCTTACTAACAACAGACGAGGTGGTGGAAGAACGTAGTAAATATAAAGCAATTGCGGAGGAAGTAGACCAAACTTTCGCCGACCTCTCCGGCTACTAAGAAATTAAAACAAACTGTGTGCGGCCATTTTGACGGGGCGCCATCTTGTGAGTCGACGGGATCTTCGCGTGAATGAGTATCTATGATGCGTTGCTTTGTATTGTTTGCATTCCGCACTCTGCGTATAATGCAAATTAAAGGTTGAACATGGCGTGGTGCCTCCAGAGTGCATTATTTTGTGATAAAACCGGAACAACTGTGTTTTGAGAATAAGTAACATTCATTTCCTACAGATCGCACGTTGCTTTTGCCACTGTTTTTGAAATCACAAGTATTTACTACTTACCAAATGATAGGATATAACTTTCTTTGTCACCTACTTATTTTTATTGTTATCGATAATATAAAATGTACCACTACAGTGACGTTACTGTTGACGTTATTATAATTTATTTCTTGCATGAGATTTTTTAATATTTTTTCAAGAACAGTTACGTCAATGTCTAACTTTAACTTATTAAATAGATTTTGGCAAACCGAAATAAATGAGTGAAGAGAAAAAAAATAATAGATATCAGCTATGGACATATAATTATTATTTCTATACAATACAGAATTTATAAATCAGTGCAGATACAACTGAATAGCTACTATATTCTTATGGCATTAGCTCCATACGCAAATGTTTAAACCTAGAGTCTAGTGTATAATTTCATGAGTACACATCCCTAATGTTAAAATTTTTACATATTTCGTATTGCAATCCTGGTGTCGAGGAATATAGAGTCGAGTCGACGGTGCTATATAGTACCAAAACTAATAGTTTTGGTTAATCCAAACCTTCCCTAACAGATACATATAATGTATGTTAATTAATCGAAACGAAGCAAACAGTCATGCTTATCTGCACTACGATTTATAAATTCTTAGTGTTTCAATATTTTGTTTTGCTCGATGCGTGAATTCATTATTTAAGCATACACAGAATCACATATAAAGTACAGCATTTTATAATGAGTATTAAGTTCTACTTTTTTCCATTGTGTCAACGTGTTTGTTATTTCTACTTATGAAATCAAATTACATTTTATAATAAATATAAGTAGGTACTCTGTTTTATTATTTAACTTAGGTACTGCCGACGTTTTGATTTAACCAACGCTTGGCGCTCTATCCATAAGTAAACCATATTTCCATCATTTACATTAAAATCCATATTTGTGCGTGTGTTATTCAAATCTCTTACAATATTTATCTCACAGTTGTTTTAGTCTACTTGTAAGGCAATAGTGGAATAGTTAAGAATTTTGTACCTACAATTTTAAAGGAGTTTTCTATGACTTTTTACGCCCTTAGAATGTGGTGGCAATGTCATGCAAATGGCAAAATATAAGGAAATTCGCAAAGAACCGAGATCTGATTGAAAAAGCAATAAGAATACAATCAGTTCTGATTACGTAATATTTTTATGCAATCTGTTTTTAGAGTATTTTCCCAGAATCTATATTTACGTTCGCATGACAATGTACATGTTATATAATTTTGTGATACGATTGAATATTTAGCCTTTTCTAATTACACTAATATATAATTTTAGTAGGTATTTTTTCTTTGAAACGGAAATAGCTTTTTTTTTATTCAACAACGGCGTCAAAGCTTTGAGCAACTGTTTCAACTTGAAAAAATATACATTTATATTAAATTATGACTTTTATTTCATAAGACTTGAATTGTTTAACTAAGCTTGGGATTCATAAAATTATGGTGAAGAAATTTTTTCTTGCCCATTAGTGATTAGTGTTTTTGTTTATGGTAATACTGTAGGTAATAATTTATAGGTCTGGTCATTAAATAGTTTACAGTCTAAACAAATGATATAAAATGGTACGATTGTGATTTTAACTTATATTCTTATACAGTGTAGTATAACAACTGCAATATAAAGAAGCAAAATAACAGTACATGGGCCACTTCTATGCACGGGGCTCCTCTACATAAGGGTTAATATTATTTTTATATTTAGTGATATTGGTCAAAATTTTGTCACAATGTGTTCAATAGATACACGTTTAACGTACAAAAATGTGTGTTCGCCGAAGTAAGTTTATAAGTCTTCGAGACCTTCAGAACTGACGGCTTTTATTTAAATCAAAGCTTTCCGCCCAATTAAAAACAATTTTTATTGTTTAAATAAAATGCACATAACATTTACGACAGTATATTACCTACTAGTAAATTAACAGCCCATATCTTTAATTTTTATTGAAGTGGTTTTAAATCATAGTTTAGCTCCTAAGGACTTTTGTAAAAACTTCAAGCGATTTTTCAAGAGAACCAAAAAACCGAAACTTCAGGCGGTAAACGCATCAAACTACTGGCTGGATCAAAATGATACCTTTCGTAAACGTAGCCGGTGGAACGTTCTCATCGACTTGTTAATGACGAGGACGAAAGCAACACGATAGTTTTCACTAGCCCTTGGGCAAAGCTGAAACAAAGGGCAAAGTATACCTAGTTCAAGCAAGCTAATAACGCAATCGAACGGCGACAGCTAAAGGTGCTCGGCCAACCAAGCCCCGGAGGAAATGATATTTAAAATTTAGATTTTTTGTCAAAATAGTTACTCGTGCAAGTAAGTAAAATTGCGAAATATCTAACAAAGGTATTAAAAAGAATATTTAAGTATAGCGTAAAATCTTTAGATTTTCAAATGCTTTTTCTATGAGTATAAAGGGCATTTTATTGGAGATTTAGTGGATTACGAACTAATACCCTCTGTGAAGAGTATGCGTTTACCCAGTAGTGGGCCATACATAGGCCTTTTATTGGAGGCTCGTAAAATTATAAAGTTGTTAAGTTATATATCCCGCCGAAACAGACGCGGCTCTGTCTCTTATATACGTCCGAGTCGAATATAAATCTGGAGCTACAACTTCTAGGTACTAAACCGGTTCAAAGGTTCAAAAAAAAAGGTTCATCAGTTGGACGTATAATGTGATTTGCCCTAGCTTCCTGCTCGGGTGAGCTATGGTCATTGGGAGGTTGGATTTGGCTACGGGACAAGCCCGAGCGAAGTGCATTGCTACTTCTCGGGGTCGATGTCAATTCCATTTAGGGAACCAATCACCAAGGTGATTGGCGGTACTTTGGAGGAGAATGGTGACTTACCGAGAGGTTGATCTAAGTAGTGTACAGGGTTATCTGAGAAAAGCGGGCCATTGACTTTGGATGCCGCTCATGTCCAAATAAAATAGAGAAGGAAAGAGGTAGAAGCCTTGAGGAACGTGTCACTTAAGAGAGCGGATCGAAGAGGGAGCCTCTACTAGATAACGAAAAAGGCGAATCTACAGCAGGGCTCTTATAGTATGTTGCTTCTTTATCATTTCAAGACGCTTTGATTAAGTATTTTTATTTTTGAACCTTAATCGTTAATGACGATTAAGGATTATTTTGAAAATTTATAAAAGCCACCTAATTTAATTAAAAGTGTTTTGAAAATCCTCTCGGAGGTCTATTATTTTCTTATGCTGTCTTTTATGCATACCATTAATTAAAAAGTTGAGAAATTGGATGTGTTAATTTGTTTAAAGCAACAATAAATATACTTCCATCCATCACAAAAAGTCTAGATGACAGCCTTAAAAACTTGCCGTAGAATATTCATAGTGCATAGTATAAATAAAGTAAGTGAAAAAGATAAAAAAAATCTACGAATTTCTATAACAAAATGGAAAATGGGTTAAGCTTTTAATATTATTGGATACATTTGAATATTATTATATTTTAATACTCCATATTATACTGTTATTGAAGACATTGTTCATGTTTTAAAATTATTGAAAATTGCGCAGCATTCCTTTTACATTCTTACTCATAATGCTAACGTCGATTTAATTTTAAACAATAATGGACGAAGAAAAGGAGAGAAATATAGTCTCGTTGGCGAAATCAAAGACAACATTAATTTTAATAAATCTCTATTATGGACGGAAGATATTCTGAACTTTAGAATTAGAATCTAAAGGCTATACGAAAGACTGAATAATTATGTACCTATTTATAAAAAAGCTGCTGATATTTTCTTATATCTTAAGATCACTTTTTGCTAATAGTATAATTTTTTATTTAAAGAAGTTAGAAATGTAAGATTTGTTTGAAAACTTTACGAAATTTGATTTGCAATGATATTAGAAACATTTTTTAATAAAACATTTTTGAAATGTCCGCGATCTTAGCTCCAAAACCCGGACGTTTCTTTTACTAGTTGCCAGGTTTTAAAGATAACAACATTTTTTAAGATAGGTTTGCAATCTAGTTGTGTGCTGGTTTCTTCGACTGGTATTGGTAACATAAGTAGGTACTTCGTTTTCCGATCCGTAATTTGGTACTTTACTGCCAAGTATAATTTGTTGTTTAACACTTATTTTACGTTTATTAGATAACGTACATATTTTTTCTGAACATTGTTTATATATAAAAGTGATTCCTAAAATCGATAATAAAGTAAAAGAGGTGTTTTAATACAACAAAAACAGCTACTTTCATGATTGCAAATTCTTTAAATGAAATGTTCATGAAGTAGAGTCTTGACACTCTCATGTCATTAATATTTTCGAGCAGATGAAAAAAAATATATAACAGAAATGATTTATTTTTGTATAAGTGTAATTTATTAAAATATATTCGAGGCCTAGGGCGAAAGCGAACATGAATTTGACATTGCTAACATGAAAAATAGAGATGCCCGTACAGGCAAGAAAAACGAAAACTTTCGTTAATTACTCACCGAGAGCGTAGAGAGTACTGATAAAACCAATTATTAAATAAAAACAATTATTTAATTTACTTCATTCAAAACAATTCACTCTATACCAACAGATATAGATCGCTATCGATGAATGAAAAAAAAATGAGATGCTTTGAGTTCAAAAACAGATTGCAACATGCTATACGTATCTTCCTTTTTTAATGGCATCATAATACTCAATCCAGCACTTGGCTCCTATGGCACATTTTGCGCGCGTGTGAGTTGCGTATTCTACGAGTATGTATTTATTCCTCTGCATATTTTAATCATCATTGTAAACCATTACACAGGTTAGCAGACAGCCTTCCAGATTGACGCAGAAATACATCATTATATCGGTTTTATTAAACTAAAGCGAACTCAAGGCCATCGGATTGCTAGACAAATCGAATATTGAAACTTAGGTCAGCTACGTTCTTGTGCATGCTATTAATAATCGGCTGTGTATGCCGACTGGAAAGCAGTGTTTGCATCATCTATCTCCGACGATAGATTGAATTGAAGAATGGACGGAACTACTGAACCGATTTAAATGAAATTTGGTATATCGATAGTCAAGAGCCTGAGAAAGGACATAAGCTATTTTTAATTTGTAAAAAAGTGTTCTAAAGGGTTGAAAGATATTTATTTATGGGCTTCAACACGAGAACTAGATTTAAATAAGAACTAGAACTAGTTCTAAATAAAATAATGCGAAAGAATAAGGAATCTATTTTGTTTTCCGTTTCCTAGAGGCTTTTGCATTGAAATATTGTATATGAAAACACACGTCTAGGAATGATTATCTGTATGTCATACGAAAACTTTCCTCTTTGTAAGCGATCACCGTCGCCCATGGACACTCAAAATCGGAGGAGAGGAACAATAATAAGCAAAGCGTTGCCGGCCTTTGAGGTATATAATAAAATACTGCTGGCAACAACTGGTTCCAACCAACAAGATGGTGTCGATATTCGCGGTTTGACGAGTTGTACGATGGTGAAATTAAAGATGATAAGAACCACACTGGAGTGCAGATGCACTTTTTATATATCCTTGATATTTGGTGTCCTCATAGGCAGATCTAGTAGAGTTATTCGCACAATGTCTACATAATTTGAGGGCTAACCAACCCGTATTGGTTGTCACTGGACGTGGGTCCGCTCCCGCCCAGGGTAAGTATACACTTTTAGCAGTAGACTACGCAAAATATATGAACATGAAATGTTACTTTTTCGCAGGTAACGCTAGCTATCCATCTAGAGAGAAGAAAAAATTCATTTATTTTTCACCTGTGTTTTTTTAATATAATTTTTTTAAGATATGGTCCTGAAGTAAGCAGAGCTTTAACTGAAGAACAGGTACCTAATTGAGGGAGGATTATCTAGAGTTCCATTGAGACTATCTAGAAGGCCACGAATGTACGTTGGGACGTCCTCCAGGATTTTCCACAGACTACCACCGCCTCTCACTAATATCCGAAGGTGAGGGTTAGGGATTTCCTAGTTCTATCACTGTTTCCACATGAGACCACTCCGCGTGTCTCTGTCAGTAGACGATAAGACATCCCAATCGCCCGTGAACCCAGGACTTCTCTTAGTCGCCTATAACGACAGGCAAGTGATACCTTAAACCTATTCTATAAGCTTAAGCCTACAGGGCTTTGTCTCGAGTCTATAAACTACAGGCTTTTAAGAACCTTTGTGGATAACCGTTATATTGAATTTCTTTCGTTATTTTTTTAAAATTTTGATACTGGAGCATAGAAAACGTAAGAATATAAGAAATATAGAAAATCTGTAGTTTTAGCGAATCATGTTTCACATTACGAGCACATTTAAATATAGATATGGCGGTTGGATCACATAATTATGCAGGAATGTCGGGTTCCGATCGTTGTCACCATAAATGCTGAGAGTCTGAGTATCGCTGAAGTGGACAGCATTATACTCTTTGTATTATTCTCTAATATTGGTATTAGTATTACTTTGCTGTGTATGGGTCAGTAAGGCATCGAAGTATAATGAAGCTAGAAGGTTAGCACTGAAAATCAGCGCTGTGTTGGGGCCTCGACTTCCGGCATAGCATAATGCTGAGCTGCTAACCTAATTTACCGGAATAGGGCGTAGAATATTTTTGGTTTGCTCAAGTTCTTTATCATTTGTTTCATATTTTAATTATGCATTAATTTTGCTTTACTGAATTATTTATAAGTATTTTTTTATTTCTTTTATTTTTTGTTAATTTTAGTTTTTTTTCTCTTTTATTGTGCGCGTCCTTTTTATGGTAAATAAATGGATTTTCTTTCTTCTTTCTTTCTTTCTTTCTTTGTGCGCCACATTTGTGGTCCTCAAAATGCTTTAAAAATATCACAGGTTTTTTTATAATTATTCCTCCATTGTTTCCCGTTTTAAGCGATTGTTAGCGATACAGCCGACCCGTCAAGCTGGTCGCGGGAACGGGATCGGAGGAAATGGTGCCGCGCGCGCGATACTCCCGCGCACGCCATGGCGGATCCGGACCGTGGATTTTCGCGCCGAAAATAGTCGGGCGGGCGCGCGGAGCGACCGCGAGGGCGGGCGCAGTGCGTGTCGCTCCGCCGTGTGAACAGCTCGTGAGGTGAGTGCCGCGGCCCCAAGCCAGCCTGGATACTAGCGGACGCCCAGGACTCCTCGCCCTCCTGGAGCTAGGGCTGCTGCGGGCGGTGGGGCGAGTGACGTGTCAAATAGCCGAGCTTTCGCGTTACCCTGATCTTACCACCCCGCCGATTTGCTAACTATCGCGCGCCCGATGAGGATTTGCACAATCTAGGGTGTCAAGTGAAAACGTCCAATAAAGAATATCCAAGCTGAACGTTAGCGGTGCTTTTGTTCCGATTGTAGAGTCGTTGCGCAGTTCGTCGTGTCGTTATAAGTGCAATATAGCAGTAAGTTCTAGTGACAGATCCAATGTGCGCGCGCTAAGCTCGTCCGCGGTGTGACTCGGATTTCATCGCGCGCGCGACCTCGCTGAAAATAGTGCCGGCCCGCCCGCTGGACGCACCGCCCACCGCCCGCCGCCGCTCCTAACCTATTTGCGGCATGTCCGAACATTAGTATTCGTAACGGCATCAGGAAACACAAAAAAATGTATTTAGAACACTGGCAGAATCACTCGGAATGGGGTTCCCGCCAAATCGTTAAACTTCACACGTCGATAGCACAGATAACATAACTAATACCAAACATAGCCCGAGTCGGATTGAAATACGCTTGCTTACGTCATCATGGAAACTATCGTGCTCCGATTACGTTGTTTTGAAATTAGAAGCCGGTAATATTTTATTTTAAAAAAAATACTGAGACGAATACATCAATAATAGATGATAATGTATTTAGCAAACAATATTAAGCCTAACTGTTAGGAATTTAGCGATGACTTTATTTAAAAGTTACTTTATAGTGGATAATTGCTTGATAATTGCTCTAAAAAAAATTAATTAATTAATTTAAAGCAGGTTAAAACATTATCTCATTCACATTCAAATATGTTAGTTATGTTATAAATAAAATTGGGACGGCTTTAGAATTCATATTAGAAAAATTAAACATTAACGGTTTTCCTCGTGTAATTGTGACGTTAGTCACATTTATTAGAAAGGTACAACATGTATGCTTCCGGCTTTAATACTTTTAAGTGACATTAATGAAACCCTTCACACAGTAAATACTTGATTAAAATTAGACAGTAATTAACAAGTTATGCGCATGTTTTTAAATGATTTAGTATGCAGCAGAATCGCGAAGAACCGACGGAAGAATGTTCTCATACCATGGCGGTTGGATAGACTTATGACGTCAAGCCTCTTCGGCTTAATCGACTGTTATAGCACCGATTACCGATCAATGGATTAAAGTATCTGTCTCCTCCGCTTACTACTCATTTTCATTTTCTCACTTTACACGATGATTCGTTTTTAACAAGAATCATATTTTTTTTAATATCATAAATGGCAAATTGGTCGGAACGATTTAACAACAAAACGACAACCCGCTTATTATTTCTCTTAATAATATCACTAGAAGGTTGTCGTGTCACATAAATTCTATTTCTTTTTCTGTAAGAAAATCGCTAGATGGGACTGTATAGAGGTAGATATATTATACCTTAAGGAATATAAAACAATGATTACGAATTTTAGTTACAAAAGTGCGGAATAATTAATTATGTTAGCAATTTATTCTTGATTATTCTGATACCAGATGACTGAATGCTAGTCGGAGATATTTTGGCACAATATCAAAGGAATACTGACGATGTAGCAACCGAGTATGTGGAGCGGTAGATGAAAAGAAATTTATGAAAGAATAAAAGCTTTCGGTTTTCCCCTAAATCTTTATGGTTAGTTCATTGACAAAGTCAACCTTGGTTAGTTTCCAATCTTATAACAGTGTGAAATGATTTCTTACATTTGTTATGTCTATCGTTAGAATTTAATTATAAGTTAGGACGTACTTTGCACTTAAAATATAATTGTGTGCTTAAGTAAAGTAATGTCTTAAATTTGTTTTGCATTACTCTTAAAATAAAATCGGAACTAAATAAGATCATTAACATATTTGTGAATTTTTATAAACATACAATTTACAATTTGACGAATGGTAAAGATTTGATGAATAGTAATTTTAAATATGTGTGACTTCGAGCTTTGTCTTTAATAGGTTATTAATACGGGAGAATACATTGTTGTAGTCATGTAAAAACACACGAAACTTAGAAATGAATAATTCTTATAAGGATATCGGGTCGAGTAAGTCTAAAATAATGTTATTTCTAAATCACGCTACATTTATTTATTCTGGTAATAATTTGGTGTTCTTTTAATATTTCCATCATCTCACCTTTCCCATCAATCCACACCTGTAATGTATACAACATTACCCGTATATTTGGGTCGTTTGGTGGTATTCACGTGCAATGACTAAACTATATATCAGGTCAACCAAACAGATCAATGTTCTGTTCTTCCAATTGCTTACCAAAATCGTTGTGACACTTTAGTGTACTGTGATAAGGTCACTAATTGCGAAATTTGCTATTAAAATACACCAGTGGCACGTTGGTCCAAAAACAGTCTTCCTTTCTCCACCTTCAAGCTACATGAAAATTTAAATGGGTGTGCGCGTAACCAGATTACATACATATCGCTTCCCGCACGGTCGTTTTTAGCCGTTTTTGCAGAACAAAAATTTTCCATGTAAATTCCGCCTATGAGTTCGATACCAATTTTTAACAGACCTCAAAAGGAGCAGAACTTCTGATTGAGTATACCGATTTTGATGATTCCTTTTTTAATTTGAAATCTGGTACTTCCCATGTTAATTTTGGCATTGGATCTTGGGTACCGGAGATACCGGATATATTTGAAGTCGGTTTTGTTTTTCGTCAGTAAAAAAATGGTTCTTGTCCTGTATGTTTAAATGTAATCCTCTACATTTTGGAGCGAACACAAATGTTCCGATTAGTACTTCATTTCTTATACGCATATTTAGGTATATGGTATATTTCTCGGATAAAAGTGGTTTTAGCTTTTACCAGCAGCTGTTCGTCCAGATTGCGCGGAGACGTGTTTATTTCTGTGAACATTGTCGGGATCGCTTGAGAACCCGCCAGAAATATCCCCGCGTCATGTCTTGCGGCATTTATTTTTGCAATCGCCTCTGCCCGCTCGTTAAAACGCGCCAGAATTTATAATCTAATCTTGTTTACGCCGATATTCTTAACCATGCTCGTACAAGTCTCCGGATAAAAGAACATTTCCCCATCTCGAATGCAATCTCGCCAATGTCTTATAACTTTAAAAGTCTTGAAAAAGAAACTTGCATTTTAGTACTGAGAAATGCAATTAAGCTATAAATTCAAATATTAAAAAATATTAACTCTCCTTTACATTTTCGTGTCTGGACTGATTTGATGTTTAATGAATTGTTATTAGCTACAATGTTTTACTTTATTAACTCCTGGATAGTACAGATATATAAATGTATACTTGTATAAAGATATAAAATGCATTTATATTATAGCTATAATGTCTCCTTTGTCCATTTGTTTCTTTTAAATTGATGAGGCTTTATAATGATTTAATTATTCTCGTATAATTCACCTTAAGTGAAGGGGAATTATTATTTAAAAGAAATTTTCTATCACCAAAGCATTGTCAACAATTCTTGGCAAAAAGTAATACTCATGTCTTAAAGTAATAACAAAAAAAAAAGCGGGCGTTATTAGGTCATCACACAATTTAATAAAAGGTTTATGTGTATCGAATAAAAGAAAGATAAAAATATTAATATATATATCGAAGTCAAGGGACAGGGATCTAGACTAGACATCTAGACACGCCAAAATTCGCTTTGTAAAGGCTAAATACGATAGGGTCGCTTCGTATAGGGTACAGAGTCAGGCCACAAGATAACGGTTTTTATTTAGATTAACGCCTTATACACCACCATCGCGAACCCATCGGTTATTAATGCAGCCCTCGCCCACCTGGCGCATCGCCAAGTCCGTAATCTAAATTGTACCGTAATACAATTTACAAACAGCTATTTTTAAATTTATTACCAAACAACGATGTGTGTAATGCCGGAACGAAAAATGTACCAATAGTTGTAATGTTATGGCTCATAATAGGCTGTCCATTTAGGTCTATGCATTGTTGTAAGATTCTTTGACTGCGTCCGATGAAGCTTTAATAGTCTCGGGAATGAAAGCAAAAACGTCAGTTAATACAAGAAGATTCTTTGTTCTGAATCGTTGAAGGAATTTTCCTGATATGTTTATACACGCACACTGAAATGCATTAACTTCCATTTGTGTTCTTAAAATATTGTATGAATTGCTTTTGATCCAATGTACAAACTACAATCAGTGTACGTGCAACAGCATCTAAGACAAACGCCCGGTTTCTGAAACACTGATCATCGTAGATGTCAACTAAACAGCTGTCAAATGGCTTTTAAAATTTCATTTTAGTTGCCAAAAGGATGGCTAAACTCTCTGAATTGACCAGAACGATCTTTTTAATGATCAGAATGATCAATTCAAAAAGTTTAACCATCCTTTTGGCAACTCAAAATACATTTGAAAAGCCATTTGACAGCTGATTAGTTAACGTCTACGATGATCAGTGTTACAGAAACCGGGCGTGAGCATCGTAGAAGTATAAGTAGAATGATCAGAATGGTCAATTCAGAGAGTTTAGCCATCCTTTTGGCAACTAAAATGAAATTTTAAAATCCATTTGACAGCTGTTTAGTTGACATCTACGATGATCAGTGTTTCAGAAACCGGACGTTGATCTGTCGACAAACAAAGTATAGTGTGCCTATAAAGCAAAGTATTGTTGTACTGTCGATTTAAAAGTACAAGTTAGCATCGCTTTTTGAGGTACATTTTTTAATACAGTGTTATATTTGTTGACGTGATATATTCGCATAAAGTAAAATCTACATTTCATAGTTCTTTTCTCTACATTTCTCTATACGTTTCTCATGTTCCTAATATTTTTATACATGAAATTAAAAATTATTACGAAACAATCCGAAGTTTCTCCTTTTAATTCGAGGATTGGCTCTGTAGTGGTCTGAAGGAGAGTAATATGAAAACCGCTGAATGAAATGTTGAAAGCGATTATATTCTGCATTTAATTGATTCCCGTACTTTGCCAACAGGCCAGTAGCTGGCGTATTTTTCAACCGGACCGTAGAAACCAAACAAAACCGCCACCATGGACGCGATCAAGAAGAAGATGCAGGCGATGAAGCTGGAGAAGGATAATGCCATGGACAAGGCTGATACCTGCGAACAGCAGGCCAGGGATGCCAACCTCCGCGCCGAAAAGGTGCTCCACAAACTTTAAATATTCACAACAAGACCGTATAATAAGAGGTTTTTATAATGCTGCAGCTACGGCGACCCGAATGGCGTAGTGGGTAGTGTTTTGCCTATGCGCCAGAGGGTGTGGGTTCGATCCCCACTATGTCGGTGTCTGGGTGTTTAATGTGTATAATATGTATTTATTTACAAAAGAAAAGTATGTTTATCAGTTATCTAGTACCCATAGTACAAGCGTTGCTTAGTTTGGGACTTTGGGACGTTGTGAAAAAATGTGATCTAAAAAAAGTATTTAGACTATATATCAACATGAGGTAGTAAGGTGCCCAAATAGTGTACTACTAGCCTTCACAAAAGATTGCTCCTTCGGCTGTGAATTTATTGAGAACTGGCCATTGTGCCAATTAGCGAAGACACTGTCTCAAATGTAGTCCAGAAGTATTGCATATGTGTTTGCATTGTTAAAATTAAACCACGACGTCTCGCTAAACCCTCCGACATGTATACGTCGTGTATAATGCACATGTGTTGGAATTATTTTGAGGAAAAATATCTACTGCACTCAATAAATTGCTCTTAACCTCGCCACCTGGACAGGTCAACGAGGAAGTCCGTGAGCTGCAGAAGAAGCTCGCCCAGGTAGAGGAGGACCTGATCCTGAACAAGAACAAACTCGAGCAGGCGAACAAGGACTTGGAGGAGAAGGAGAAGCAGCTGGCCGCCACTGAGGCGGAGGTCGCCTCCCTCAACAGGAAGGTGCAGCAGATTGAGGAGGACCTGGAGAAGTCTGAGGAGAGGTCCGGCACTGCCCAACAGAAGCTGCTGGAAGCCCAACAGGCGGCTGACGAGAACAACCGGTAAAAGAAATAATTTCAGGCGGATATTGCTCTTAGCCGTAGTTGTACACTTCCGATTTTACAGGAGTTACCACTACGAAATTTACACAGTACTCTGTTTATAATCTCTATATATAAAAATGAATCGTTGAATGTGTTGCTAAGCGCAAATCTTAAGAACTGCTGAACCGATTTCTCTAATTCTTTTTTTATAATATTCCTTGAACTACGAGGATGGTTCTTACACAGAGAAAAATTTAAAAAATTGCCTGAAAACGTCTAAAAACAACACTTTTCTATATTCCCATACAAAAGATTCGTAATAATACTTAAGAGTCAATTTGAACTTTAATACCATACCATAAAGTTTAAGTGTTAGTGGAGGGGTTCCGGGAAGACAATACAGTTAAGTGACGTTAGTATCGTATAAATATTAATGTCAATATTTGTCATTTTGTAATAATTTTTTAATAGATAGAGTGATTCAAGAGGAAGGTTTATATGTATGATGGTACCATGGCACCCGTATACAATATATTATTCCTAAATTTTAAAACAAAATTTTCCCTTTTGTTTTCATTTACTGCAATAGAGCTATGTAGCAGTATTGCTTAAAACGGCCTCATATATGTATTTAGCGTGGTCCGAATGAAATAAATTTGTTTCAGTATGTGCAAGGTGTTGGAGAACAGGGCACAACAAGACGAGGAGCGTATGGACCAGCTCACCAACCAGCTCAAAGAGGCGAGGTTGCTCGCTGAAGATGCTGACGGCAAATCTGACGAGGTGAACTCTCTTCTGTTTAAGCAACTGTCATTTCCTGTAAACAATTGTTTTGCCTATTCGAATAAAATAGATAACTATCTAAAGTATTCCGATTTCCTCTCATGTTATACGTTGCAGTCGCTCTTAATAATTCAAGAGCTCATATTAAGCCGCAACTAACCAATATATGTCAAACTTCATCACAGTAAATATGTAAATGTGATTGATATTATGTCTTTTACTTCATAATTCTAACGGCCCTTATAACTATTCAAGGTGTCACGTAAGCTGGCCTTCGTTGAAGACGAGCTCGAAGTCGCTGAGGACCGTGTCAAGTCTGGTGACGCAAAGATCTCCGAGCTTGAGGAGGAATTGAAGGTCTGTTGACACAATTGATTTGTGCTTTCATTATTACTCTTTATTTTTAGCACATTTATTCTTTGCTTTACTTAGCATAGGTACCTGAAAAATAATATATTTTAAACATAATTATAGTAAGAGGATAGGAACTAGAAAAATATTAAAATCGAAACGGTTCAAGACTCTTCTTTAGGGTAGATCACAGAATTTAATTTTGAGAAACATCGTGATATATTTTGGACGCCTAAAAATAACATTAACTAATTAATTTATATAGCACAAAACACACAATAACGAAAGACGTCTTTACAAAGGTTTCATAAAAAGTGTAAAGTCTTTTAAATGTTGACACAGTGAAGTTTATTGGATAATTAACTGATCCCAACGGCAGAATATACTTTAATGGGTTATTTTGTGATCCCTTCTGCAGGTCGTAGGTAACTCCCTCAAGTCGCTGGAAGTGTCCGAGGAAAAGGCCAACCAGCGCGTGGAGGAGTTCAAGAAGCAGCTGAAGACCCTCACGTCCAAACTGAAGGAGGCCGAGGCCCGTGCCGAGTACGCCGAGAAGACCGTCAAGAAGCTGCAGAAGGAAGTTGACAGGCTCGAAGGTACGCCAACACCGTTCCTGTACACTTACCGATCTGAAGTACCTCTAAAAACTTGCGACCTCGCCTAAAACAATTACCGATGAAATGATATATCTAATAAAATCATTAACTTCTTTTGATTTTCTTATAATATTGAAGTCAAACCCTCTGGAATGTTATTGAAATGTTTTGTTTTTCGAATAAGCTAAACCATGCTAATACTTTATGGCGTTTCAATAGCATTCATGAGGGGTTCTTTTGAATTAAACAAACAAATTTTCTTTTTAATCAAACTAAATGTAATACAATTTTATATAATCTTAATTAAAACGTTTACGATTCTAATATCATCGATAATAATATCATCTGGTAGGTCTTCCCCCGGAGTACCTAATCATCCTACACATTGCTGCTTTCTATTTTTACTCTCTCGGTTTAGGTATGACGTCACTTCACTAATTCTCTTCGCACATTGTTATCTAAACAACCCAATTTTCCAGACGCGTTGTTCAACGAGAAGGAGAAATACAAGGCGATATGCGATGACTTGGACGGCACATTCGCCGAGCTCACAGGATACTAACGACCCTATTAGCACCTAGTTTAAGACAATACCGTTCACCGCACGTAGGATACGAACCCGTTTAGATCATCCAACTGGACACCTCCAAGGGGAAACATCTAGCAGCCCCTGATCATTAGTCTGACGCTACAGCCCTTCACGGGAGTTTCTCTATCAAATACTTCTAAAATTCCTACCACACTCTAACCAACCTTAACCTCTGTGCCGATATTTAGGGGGTTGTAGTTTACAGTTCGTACGCTTACAATCCTTTAGAAATCGCTTAGTATAAGTGCCCCGCTTTCGGTGTTGTGATTAACATGTCTTACGCTTTGCTGCTACCGTGACGGATCTATGCCTCCAAGGTACTTAATATTTATTCTATAATGTTCTCTATTAAAACTTTGTTTTATTTAAACATTAAAGCTTAGCTAACGCAATAAAAACCAATTTAAACGAGACGTTTTAAAGTGTATTAATAATAATTAAACAAATGAACTCTATACTTTTCCTAATCGTTATGTTTCAAGACTTTGATTTCTTTACAATATTTTATTATCTGTTAAAAGACATGTTTTATTGAATAAGAGCTGCATTTTGTACAATTTAAATAAGATCATGTTTTTTGAACGTAAACTATTTATTCATTACGTTTTTTTTTAAATTTCATTAATAATTAAAAAAAATTACCATTATTAATATTAGAAATATTATCAAACTTTATTTAATATTAATTAATAAACACCGAAACGTTATTCGATATATAAAAAGAGGTGTGATATCTATTAGCATGTTATAATTCATATAGTAATAGCTAGAATTAGAGGGCACGGAAGGTCAGTCACATATGCTTAATGAAATGTCACAATGTGACCCCCACAGACGAGCTCGGCATCAACAAGGACCGGTACAAGAGCCTGGCTGACGAGATGGACTCCACATTCGCCGAGCTGGCCGGATACTAAATGTCGCACTCCAAACAAACAAACAAACATTCACAAGCGCACGCGCCGACCCACAAGGCGTTCTCACCGACGCGCCATTTTGAACAGCCAACAGTTGAACAAACATTTTTACACGTACACGTGATGTAATTAATGATATTTATTAATACTTTATGTAAATTTATTTACGATTTTCAATAAAAGATAATTTATATTAAAAACCAAAGTGGATACGTTACCAATCGTGCTTTTATTACGACCACAACCCTGAATTAATTGAACGACCGTTTGAACTCAGCTTGTTGTTATGAACGAAGAATCAATAAACGAAAAATAACTATTTGAATTTATTTTAATGAGTGTATTGTGGTACATTAATGTATTTAATTTTATTTTCATTTTGATGGATTTGTTCCAACCTAGGACATAGTGACATAGGACAGGTTTTAAGTAAATGAGGTCATTATTTTTTCTTTTGCAAATTTGTCCTTTTTTAAGACCGAAAGCTCAAAAGAATTTGTTAAATATTACTCTATTTGCTAACTATTATTTTCTGATTAGTGCTTAATTAAATTAGAATTAATTATTAATAATTATTATAAATAAACGTTTCATAATTCAAATAAATGCGTAATATATATTTAAATTTATCATTTAGTAAATAATTCATGTGTTATCGCGTAAATTATCAATGCCGTATTTTACCTGCCTGTCGTTATATGCCGGGATAATATAGCTATTTATTACTAAAAAACAATCAAAATCTGTTCTTCGAAATTTTTATTAATTGCGTTTATGATCCGTACGAAACCTTTCATCTTATGGTTTAATTAACGAAAAGATTTCGTTGGTAAGACCACGCGTCCGGGGAAGTACCGCGACCTCACAGAAGACCAACGTAAATTGGCAGTATTATACTTTTGTTTTTCGTCTGGTGACTGAGGTAACCTTTAAAGATGACCGTCTCGTCTTACAGTTTAAATTTAACTTTTTCGATTTAGTCATTGAACTTTAAAGAAGCACAAGTTTACCTCAAACAAAAAGCTTTGTCCGCCTTGGATTCTTTGCAATATTGGAGATGATAATATTGTGGTCTACCAACTACTACGGACATATACAATACTTATTAAGTAGAACTTACACATTGAAAATTCATTTATATCAATCTAAATTACAGGCAGACACTACAATTTTATAGAATTATCTATGGTACAGCTAATAACATTGAAATAGATGTGGCTATTCCTTATTCGTTATTAATAATTTAAAAATAATTATTTTTGTGATTTTTTTTGAAATAGTAGCCAATATGTCTGCATCATGGGCAAAGTGTCATATAAGTTGCGAGATTGTTATAGTTACTCATTAATCTATTTACTGGTGCACGTATTCCTATATTTGTAATATTATAATATTTGTTTCGTGTAATTGTAATATTTTTTGTTTAATGACGCCTAGAAATCTTAATTCTAATATGGCCGATTAACTTAGGATAGTCGTAGAAGTTGTTCATTACTATATTATATAGGTAGTGTTAATATGTGAATAATGTGTTTTTCAATCTTCCAGAGAAACCATGTTAAAAATTTTTATTCTGTTTTAATATTTCATACGTTGAGAACTATTGTTTTCTGTGCATATGATTTCAGTAAATTATCGTTGAAGTTTTTGTAATCTATCTACATATACTATAAAAATGGATTTCAAACCGGGCTACAGTATTCCAAATTGGTTTTCATCAAAGAACTGTTCAACAAAATTTTCATGCACAATTTGAAAAATTCTTTAGTCTTTCTCTTAATAAACCCCCAAGAAAATTAGTAAATGTTCTTTAATAACGGGATCGTAACGTAAGTTAACACTTAATTTTTTGTCTTATATGCAACCAAAATCTCGAATTTCTGTTTCATTATTTATTTTATATTCATTAGTATAACTTACATAAGTTTATGGGTAAATTTTACGTAACTACATTTGGATATGTTAGGGTTCATATTGTTAAGCGTACATCGCTAGGAACGAAGCAGTGAAACATAATTAGGACGAACGAACTTCGGGAATGAAGTTCGATCGTAATTAAGTGACTTTACAAAAATTGTTTTATGTCTACAGAAGTTTTAGTAGGTTAAAGCTGTTACAAGTGAGGATAACTTTCCAAAAAAAATGGACTGCCATATAGTTTTGCTATGAAAGGTTTGACTTTCGGCAGTTATACAATCTCTTTTTATTCAAATGTTTGTTTATTGTTATTTCTCAAAAATGTCTTTGCGACTTTCGAATATTTTAGTCTTGCTTGTTTAGGGTTTCGTACTCAATGGGTAAAACGGGATCCTATTACTAGGACTCCGTCGTCTGTGTGTCTGCTGTCTGTCCATCTGTAACCAGGCTGTATCTCATAAACCGTGATAGTTAATTTCACAGATTACTAGACATTTTCACAGATTATGTATTTCTGTAGCCGCTATATAAACAAATACTAAAAAACAGAATATAAGCAAAAAAGGTTTTTTGATGATGTTGCATTGTTCAAAACGCAAACTCAGACTTGTCAAACAGTTTTAAATGTCGCTACGTCAACAAATGGTTTCACGAGTCGATCTCTGTTGCCTAATGAATAATTAATGAAGACTCGAAAGGGTTTTCAAGACAGCAAGCAGACGTTGTTAGAGGCAGTTAGCTAGCGACTGTCAACTGTCAAATGTCTCGCGCCCGTAACAAAATGGCGGCGCGGCACGCATGCGTGCGGCGCGGGAAACGCGCAAGCGTAGCGGCCCTCTAATCTCGAAGCACAATCGATAGTGCAATAGCCATCGCGGTGACAACAGCCCGTACGGCTCTCGGCTAGTTACTACTTCTCGTTGGAAGAGGATTACAAAGGGAATTCCCGTGGAACGGTCGCTAGGAAATTCATCAAAGTGTCGGTATCAAGCAGCGTCCTGCCTGGCGCCATCACGATGAAAATGTTGATGCCGCACGACGGCCTCGACATCACCCCCGTCGAGTCTTGTGAGTATCGCCTTCAGGATGGGAACAGCGCTCTCCCTTTATCGGGCATGTCGCGAAAATGATTTACGTAAATACGTGGAACGTACAATTCTTTTCATATTTCGCGAAATCTATCTGATTCAAACATGGGAATTTTGACGCGCAATTACGATAGTATCGACAATTGGTTTCTACTCCTTAAAAGCGTATGCCACGGAGGGATGGCCTGCGAGTACAAGTTAGTCCGTTTTTCTACTTAGCCATTTGAATAGTATAAAAGCACCGAGATAGGTGTTTTTGTTACCAACAGATGAATGCTTTATACTTACGTCCGTAACAGATTCGAAGTGTTACAAACTTATATACCTATTGAAGTTTTTTATTATTATTTTGTATTGAATCATAGAAAAAGTGTAACAATATGTTATTTGTAATACATACATAAAAAATATTATGCAATACGCCTCTGTGTTTTTCGAGATAAAAATCGGTTCATATTATTCAGAGGTGTTGAATTGTGAGAAAACAACATTTTTTCCTTACATACTATTAGTCAAAAGGAAAAGCCGTGTTTATAAGACTTCAATTAATGCACACCATAGAGAGTATAAGCTTTTGCATTAGCGGAACCCTATACATAAAGCAAATGCAAAGGAAAACTACCCGATAAAGCTCATTAGTAAACTGATATCTGCACTACCTACGTCAGCTTATATGTGGTATGTATTTTCCTGTAAGTCCTCGGGAAATTCAAGCGCATTTTGTATCCGTGCATCAATATTGCAACGAATAGTGAATCAAGAAGATTAGATGGTTAGAACCGAATTGACAACACAAAATTTTTTTAAACTTTTCATAATAGTATTGCCACAAAGGCGTTTAAAACTCATTGTAGAGTTTCGTAAGTATCTATCGGGCTCTATTGATAATTTAAACCTATGTTTAGGAAATTTGTTGGGGTATAAAAAATATTAAGGACCTTGTTGCGTGGACACAATTCTGCATCTGCAAATCCACTGGTTATATTTATAATAATAACTATAATTAATGAATATTTGAATCCAGTAATCCATGTTGATTCTTCCCTTAACTCGAAATAAGCACTTATGCACGTCAATTAATTGATTTATTAAATATTACAATAATGACATTGAAGAAGCCAAATTATAGATCAGTTTAGGTACGCTGTCAAAACTTTTCATAGACAAAGTACGTTCAACGAACGATCGGTCTAGAAAGTCTGCCAGTGTGGAATTTGATACAATCTAAAGTGCGTCGTAAATGTGTTAAGTGCAAAATAATAGGAAACAATGTAACACAGTTAATCATCCATAATACACTATATCAATATAATATCCTCGTGTTTTCCCCAAGTGTATGATTAAAAAAAACGTGTCGATTTCTTGTTTTACGCGAATATACATCGTTAATCAAAACGCGGTAAAAGGCGTAAAATAGTTTCATTTAATTGAGAAATTTGTAATGAAATATTTATTTTATAATTATGTGATATGACAAAAATTACTAAGACGAAAATGTTACTTTAGAGTACGCTAGTAACATGTGGAACAAGAAAAGTATACGTATTTCCTTAAAAAAGGTAGCTAACATAATTCAAAGCATTGTGTACGTCATCGGTCTGTCTGGAAGAAAAATCCGTAATGTCATTATTTAAAAATATGGTGTAATCCTTTTTAAAAATTATATATTCATGTAAATAATTAAATTCCTAATTATAACGAGAAAAGAGTTAATGTCGGGACAGTTTACGTTATTTTCAAAACAAATTTAGTTGCTTATCCATTCTTGTACCTATATCCATAGGTTTCGCTTACTTAAACGTCTATCATTTTTTGTTATTTCCAACTTTAATGTCTTCCTTTATTTATAGCTATTCCGTTTTATGGGAAGGTCACATTATGTCCTCTAATTGAGGGGCAAGGTAAAAGCACAATACTTAAAAAGCATTAAACAATATATTTGCACATATTAAAATTTTCTTTCTTCGTCACGGCTATCACGGCCTTATATAATATACTAGCTAATCCGGCAAACGTTGTTTTGTGGAATTTCGAAAATCCGTAAATCTTAGCTGACCTCTACTCGGCGAAAGGAATGTTCCTACCAAATTTCAAGTCTCTACGCCTTATGGTTCCAGAGATATCGTGACGAGTCAAGTATCGGTGGGAATCTCTTTTGTATATATAGATAGATAAGGCCGTGATAGCCGATAGTCCGTGCACTATCTTTTTATTCAGTATAGGCGTGCCACCTCAGTTTCCCTCAATCCACGGTGCTGGCACCAATGAAATTGTTAATTTTAAGTGCTGATTTATCACGTGCTTCACGGTGAAGGAAAACATCGTGAGGAAACTGACATATTCTCGAAACAATAACAAAAAAAATCGAAGATATGTGAAGTCCCCCAATCCGCAGTGGGGTCGCGTGGCGGACTATGCTCTAACACCCTCTACAAAATATTTCGAGGACATGTCATGTCCGCCTATTCATAGTGGGCCGCGTGGTGACCTATGTCTTAACACCCTCTACAAAGAAGGACTCTGCCCAGCAGTGGGACACATACAGATAAGCTATTACTTTACTTTTTTAGATATTAAATCGACAGTTCTATGAATTTAATTGACTGCATCGAAATTTGTTTCTTTTATTAGCCATTATTAAATGCTCAACATCTGTATGTCTACGTTCAGGCAAGGAAATTTCCCGACCATTAATTTTAAAGCCAGTAAGTGCTCTTAAACGCGCCCTTGCCCTTCATGGGACTTTCACTCTCCTCCTTCATGATTTCAAAGTCAAATCTGTCATTAAGATTTTGTTCTGCAAAGATAATGTTCCGCGACTTTGTAAATTTGCTAAACATTTGCATAAACGTGTATAAAATTATCGTTTTGACAAACGATAGTTAATTTATGTTTGTACATTATAACTTAACTTTTTTGAAATATATTGAATGATTTAAATATTAAGTAACATTTAAAATATAATTATAAAAATTGGCAGATTTTCATGATAGAGATCTATGTTCAGAGGGCAGAGAGAGAGAGAGAGAAAGTTATTTATCTGATTGCTTGACTATCTTTATCTGATTCCTGACAGAGCACTGTAAACTTTTATTAATGACATTAGGGTAGGAATACGGTGATATTAGGTTAGTAAGAAGGTGATCAAGGTTAGAAATATATTCTTACCTTGCTATGGTAAATAATGGTAAACAAGTCCTTGGTGCAGTCATGGAAACACTATATTCACGTAACCGACGTTTACGGCCTTCTTTATGCGAAGAAATACATTGAAAACTGTGAAATATATTTGTTACCATATCGTATTGAAGGAAACATCTGGAAAAATCCATTCGTCAAATTTTCTGTATGCCATAAATATATTGTTGATGGCGGTAGCTTGTCTATCGGAAATTCGGAATCATAGACCACAACCATAACCATTTGACTATCTCTTACAATATTATTATATGGTATGGTGGATATGATCATCGTAGATGTCAACTAATCAGCTGTCAAATGGCTTTTCACATTTCATTTTAGTTGCCAAAAGGATGGTTAAACTCTCTGAATTGACCAGAATGATCTTCTTATTGATCAGAATGATGAATTTAAATTGTTTAACCAAGTAAAGTGTAAACTAATGCTACCCTTCCGACCGAAACTGTGGTAGGGCCAAGCAACAGTCTTCGCCGTTGCACGAATGGGCAGGTCAGTCCAAGGTAGTAGTACCACGACCTAATAGAAGATAGGCGTGAAGAGGAAGTGTTGTACTTCTAAGTTTTATCTGGTGAGTTAGGTAATCGGATCTCACTCTATTAAAATATTGCAACGCATCTGTAACCATACTTGTGATGTTATAAATGTCCATGGGCGGCAGTCGTCACTTAACAACGGGTGAAATTCAGTTGCCGCCTTCACACATAAGATAACCGGTCATTGTAAGTCGAACTCGTACATAGATGGTAAATATTCTTTTCGTTCAGACACACAGACGGACAAGAAAGTGATCTTATAAGGGTTCCCTTTTTAGCCATTTAAGGTACGAAACCCTAAACTAAACGCCCTAAACGATAAACATAATGGCTACCTCAAAATGGAATAGAATAGAATATACTTTATTGCACACAAGGCAATACACAAAAGGAAAATACAGGAAACATAGTGTACATATAGGCGGCCTTATTGCTAAGGTAGCAATTTCTTTCTGGCAACCTTGTAAAGATTTAGGGGATGCGAAAAGTAGTCCCTATATTTAGGCAGGAATGTTGCATCAAATAGAATCTTGTAAGACTGGTCGAATTTGTACAAGCTGTTTGTTGAACGCTAAAACAACTAATTTATATTTCTCGAACCTACGCATACGTTTATAAATAATAGATGGGTCGCGATTCAATTTAATAAGACCTCTTATTTTGTGGGTCATGCGAAGCAGTTAAGGTTGTCTGTGGCTTGCCAAAAGCCATAATGCTGTTTATTTTACGAGTCTGCTTCTGCTGTGTGCCTTGCTACATATAACGTCTCAAACAGAACATGACTTTCGCAACAGAGACTAGTATGAATTCAAATAATACATCTATGTAGCGAAGTTTCAATTGTTTTGTTTTAATTTTCATTTGTTATTGTTAAATATGTATGTACTATATTTAAAAGACAATTATAATACGTATTATTTTAGATTCTTATAACATTCTAAACATTTCATTATAAATCATTATACATTATGTTCTACATTATTACATTTTTTAGAATATAAACAAAATGTTCATATAATTTAATATAGCATCAAATGAAATATTTATTAAAGTCATTCTAAAATAAATTTCAGGAGTATTTAGATTGTTAATTTTCAAATTATAATATAATTATATGCTAATGGGATTAAACGCCATTGCTTTTCAAAAATATGCTTGCTTATAAACACGTGTAATAGTATAAACAAGAAAACGTATATAATACGATGATTTGATATTAAATGTTTGACCAACAGTTAAATAAAAT